AATAACATTCCAGATTTTGTGCTATTTTAAAATATACATGATCTCCATTCAATTTATTTCTAAATATGTCATCCAAACATTTTTTTGCCATTCTATATTTTACTTTTATTTTTAAAACAATTTTTGTTCATTGTTTTATCCTCTATTGATCTGGATGAGTGCGATTTTTCTGGACAGAGTCACATTTTAAAATAATGAGCATAATGATACAAATATAATGACAACCAGAGTGTCTTTATTCTGCCATTGATCAGTTATGGATGATTTCAGTATGTCACTGTTCAATTCAAAAGTAACTCTTTAAGAGATGCTGTTAGCATGCCAAGGTTGATACAAGGAATTTGTTTGTTTTTAAGGTGTTGTGACTATCCTGTTAAAATTTGGACTAGAAAATGCCAGTATAAGATGGTTTAAAAGTATTTTCGTTTGGGCCAAAGCAGGTATTAATAACAGTGTGTCCATGGTATCTGCTAGTGTTTGATTCCAGGACTCCCTGTGAATATCAAAATCCATGGGTGCTCAAATAATATTCTATGCAGTAGTATGGGGAAATTGTGTACTTTATATAAAGTGGCAAAATTAAGATTTGCTTTTTGGAGTTTTAAAAAATATTGTCAAGATGTGGATGAATAAATCAGTGCATGCAGAATTTGTGAATTTTAGACATTTATTAGAATGAATTTATCACTTCTCTTAGATGTCTGGATTCACACAAATTGTAGCCAGGAACTTAAGACTCATCCTATAATATTCAGGGGATCATCGCCTTCTGGACTCACAGATAAAAATTGATTTTGAAGCCTTTTGGTAACATTTCCCATCTACTAAATGTTTCTCATCAGGCCTTCCAATCCATCCCAGAACATTTTGCATGGTCTACATATGCCAATGATCTTGTTCTATTTTAATAGAAGCCTCCTTCTGATTTGTTTTAATGGACTTTGAAACCAAATTAGGTCTTTTATTTCCTTAATTGCATTGAGAAGAAAGGCAGCCAAATGAACCTTCATTAGCACCAGGCAAAGCTTCCTGGATTGATTTTCCAAATGTTTGCATGATCTTTTATTCTAGCTGCAAACAGTTCCTTGTAGCCAACAAATAAATTTGCCAGGGCAAAAGATAAAGGGCACGCTAATATTTAAATCTTAATTGCTTTTGGATGGTATCTTCCAACATAAATGAGCCAAGAGTGTCAAAATCTCCACTAAAAAGGCAACTTTTGACCACCAAAATGTATTAGCTTCTGCAGCTGAATAAATAATGCAATCCTGTTATATTAGATTTTCATGTTTATTTTAGTTATAGTAAATAGTATTCTTTCGATTTCAACCTCTTGTTTGGCACAATTGTTTGGGAAATTTTAAAAGGGAACCCTAAGGTTCAGAACAAAAAATGTGACTGGGAGAATTAAAAGGGATATCCAATAACATCCCAATGAAGGCTCACTCTCAGTGATCATGGAGTGGAGCCGCGGTGGTGCAATGGGTTAAACCCTTATGCCAGCTGAACTGCTGACCTGAAGGTTGGCAGTTCGAATCTGTGAGATAGGGTGAGCTCTTGTCTGTCAGCTCCAGTTTCCCATGCAGGGACATGAGAGAAGTCTCCCACAGGATGGTAAAACAACTGGGCATCCCCTGGGAAATGTCATTGCAGATGGCCAATTCTCTCACACCAGAAGCAACTTACAGTTTCTCAAGTTGGGCTTTAGCACAGCTGGTTAATCAACAGCAGCAATAGATCACACCAAGCAAAAGGTTGGCAGTTCAAAGCCTAGGTCAGGGTGAGCACCCAACCTTCAGCCCAGCACACTGTCCACCTAAGCAGTTCGAAAACAGCTGTGAGTAGAAAAATTAGGCATCACTTAAGTGAGGAGGTATTTTACGACACCATAAAAAGAGAAACCAGAAAATGCTGGTGATCAAAGAAAGAAGGAAATTTGTGATCAAGGGCTCTTTGTCATAGAGGATGGAGCGACAGCACCCCCCGTGGCCAGAATCGAGCACAATCTCCAGGATGCCAAAACTGGGAAAAATACTGACCTATACCTCTATCTGTTCTCTGTCCTGTCTGTTTAATGGCATTGATTGTTTGCCATGCATGTGTTCTGTGATCAGCCCTGAGTCCCCTTTGGGGTGTGAAGGGTGGAATATACATGCTGCAAATAAATAAATAAATAAATTCTGGTCCCAATTCAAAGTGCAGGTGATTACCTACAAAGCCCTAAATGGTTCAGGACCTGCCTATCTTCGCAATCGTATCTTCCCCTAGGAACCAACACGAGCCCTAAGATCATCTGGGGAGGCCCTTCTCTCACTTCCATCTCCGTTTCTTATTATTATTATATTATGACATGATAAAAAGTGATAATGGAAGAGATAAGGGAAATAGAAGACAGTAATGAAGGAAGAGGGGGAATTGCTACTGGGTAGGTAGCAATGTCCACAGTGATACTCCTACACTGCATTTATTGCAGTTTTTCTACTTTGTATTTATATAAACTCATGTAAGTTTGTGTTGTAGATATAGCTTAGCATCTTGCATCCCAAGATGAGTTTGACTTCCATAAAACAAAATTGGGGGGGGGGGGGTCATTCCTCTTGGCATTCTATTTACAAAAAGTGAACTCATACTTTTTGTTGAGAAACACACAGAATCATAGAATCCTAGAGTTGGAAGAGACCTCATGGGACATCCAGTCCAACCCCCTGTCAAGAAGCAGGAAAATCACATTCAAAGCACCCCAACAGATGGCCATCCAGCCTCTGTTTAAAAGCCTCCAAAGAAGGAGCCTCTACCACACTCCTGGGCAGAGAGTTCCACTGCTGAACAGCTCTCACAGGTAGGAAGTTCTTCCTAATGTTCAGGTGGAATCTCCTTTCCTGTAGTTTGAAGCCATTGTTCTGTGTCGTAGTCTTCAGGGCAGCAGAAAACATGCTTGCTACTTCCTCCCTATGATTTCCTCTCACATATTTATACATGGCTATCATGTCTCTTCTTAGCCTTCTGTTCTTCAAGCTGAACATGCCCAGTAGTTTAAGTCACTCCTCATAGGGCTCGTTCTCCAGATCCTTAATCATTTCAGCCACCCTCCTCTGGAAACATCTCCATTCAATTGTGGTGCCCAGAATTGGACACAGTATTCGAGGCATGGCCTAACCAAGGCAGAATAAAGGGGTAACATCACTTCCCTGGGTCTAGACACTATACTCCTATTGACATTCAGTATAATCAATATCAATGTTGATGACACGTCCACAATTTGGTTGACTTGCCTCTGAATTTTTTTTTGCCATGACAACAAAAGGATCATAGGTAGAATTATGCCAAAAAAATATTCATTTTTACATAGAAAGAAGTACATCCAAGATAAATGTGGTTAGTAGCCACTCAACACTGTGGGCATACAATGGCACTGCTTTCCATGTCATCATTAACTCTATCAGGTATTTTTCCCTACGACTTCTTTTCCCTTTTGATTACATTAGAAAATCTATTAGGAAGGGAAAGATGGGTTAGATTCTTTGTGACCAGATGCTAGCACTAGGAACTGTTTGACTGGAAGCCTCCCCAGAATCATTGAGTAATTCAGTCTAATGTAATCTTCACTCAAAACTTGGCTTAAATATAGACCTCACAGAGATTGGATTCAGTTAACTCCTGTTCATTTGTTTGCTTTTCAGTTTCTCTCACTTCACCTACTTTACATGCCATCCACTTCGATAAATAGTTATAGAAAATAACTAGTTTGTAGTATTTGATTGCCTTATTTTGTAGAGATGTTATTTTTATGTACAGACATGATTGCCTGTTCATGGATAAATGTCATACTTCTATGGTCTCTGTAAGTATGAAAATTAGCTAAACCAGGGAGCTGTTTTGATGGAGTCAGTTGGACTAAATACATGAACATTGGCCTTAACTATTACATGGGAGGCTAGGCTAGCTGTTCCCTGCCTTCATTGCACCCACAGGCAAATATATTTTTATTTAAGAAAGCTTTTATTGATAAATGTGGAAAGTATAAAAGATGAATTAATAGGAAGAGACTCAGGGCCCTTCCACACAGCTATATAACCCAGAATATCAAGGCAGAAAATCCCACAATATTTGCTTTGAACTGGGTTATCTGGGTCCACACTACCATATATTCCAGTTCAAAGCAGATAATCTGGGCTTTTATTCCGCTGTGTGGAAGGGGCCTTACAGTGGTATGAGTATTTACAATTGGCGAAATGATCAAGTGATATAAGGAAAAAGTATAATGGGGGTAGGGAATATACTAAAAGGAATAATAATAATAATAATAATAATGAAATAAAACATGCATAAGTAGATAAAAGATACGCTGTAGAGGTAGATGTAGTATAAATTGTAATGGGGGAAAGTTAAAAACTGATAAGAAGTGTGCTCAAAGATGTATTTGACTCTCTTTTTATTGGGTTGTGAGTTTTCCAGACTGTATGAACATGATCCAGAAGCATTCTCTCCTGACGTTTCACCTGCATGCATGGTAGGCATCCTCAGAGGTTGTGAGGTCTTTTGGAAACTAGGAAAATTGGGTTTATATATCTGTGAAATGTCCAGGGTGGGAGAAAGAACTCTTGTCTGTTTGAAGTAAGTGTGAATGATTCAATTGGCCATCTTGAGTAGCATTTAATGGCCTTGTAGCTTCAAAGCCTGGCGGGTTGCTGTCTGGGGGAATCCTTTGCTGGGAGGTGTTCTACTTAAATGAAATCATGGTTTAATAATTATTGCTGTTGTTAAATACCTCAAGTGGTATTTAGTACCAGCAGCAGTAGCAATGAAAGAGACCCTTGGCTGTATTAAACAAATGATTGCATTTTTTTGACCATAGTCACTTTGATCAAACCATAATTTTTAGCAGTACTATCTCTTTTTTAGCTGTCAGGGGCACAGAAAGAAAAACCTAGAATAAACAAGGAGAGACTGTTCGTTCTTTGAAACTTTCCACCCCCACTTCTTTCTTTTTTTCAGTGCTGGTTGATCTAAGCCTATGCCTCTCTTCACTGGGAAAAGGAGGGAGGGAGGGAAATTGCAAAGGAGAAAGACCAGAGAAACAAGGAAATTGTGTATGAAGCTTCCCGTGAAGACTTGCCTAGCCAACAACAGAAACTGCTGAGGCGTTGCATGGAATCTGGGGGACAGTATTAGATCTCTATTTGTCTGTAACATCACAAAGATGCCACTTGATTTTCTGTTCTGCGTATTCTTGGTGATTGAAACAAGCGGTGAGTAATTCTTTCTGTTTTCTACATTGAAATATATAGGTAATAGACTCCAGAAATGAATTTGCTCTTTGTGATATTTTTAAAAAACATTTTTTCTTTGATGAATTTCTGGTTCTTTGAGACAATGACATTTCAGAGTTTTTAGCAATGCAAATATAATGTATGTCTGGCAGCTGTTATACCCAAGGATATGAAAGTGTACCCTTGGCTCAGAATTTTTAAACATGACTTTAAACTGATTGGCAAGCTGCATGCAGACTGTAGCACTCTCCTTGAACTGCCATACATGCATATATACATACACACACACACACACACTATGGTGGCTTTCTAGACTGATTTGTATTTAACTCATTCTTTCTTGGGAAAACTTTTCATCATGTGATATTAATATTCTGTTTCAAAGTACAGTAATGTGTTTGCTCGGTTGGTTGAAGCTCTGAAGGATGAAACACTGCAGGATATAATAGCAATTGGAGAGAAACAGATGAAGTGTCATTGATCATTTTTATAAAGCTTCATTGGTGTATGTGTACGTGTGTGTATGTGTGTGTATGTGTGTATATATATATATATATATATATCTCCCCCATCCTCAACCCCTCAACTTTTGAAGATGTCTTCCATAAATGTGGGTGAAACATCAGGAGAGAATGCTTCTGGAACGTGGCCATACAGCCCGGAAAACTGACAGCAACCGAAATAGTAAATAACTAGTCTAAACACTTCCAGCAGCATTCAGGCTTATTGTTAAAATGAATATATTTTATTTTATTTTTTCTAAAATCGGAGAGATTGCTATAAATTTATAGCTACACTTGAAACATATATCTACTGAAAAGGTACCCTTCTCTAAACATTTGAATATTTCCATCTGGAAATATTAGAAAGGGCTATGCTGTTCATTTGGAGACATCGGTTTGGATGGGAGAAAACTACATGACAACTCAACTGGTGATAGAAACCTGGGAAACAAGAATAGAAGTGAATTTGCACAGATCACTTTAAAATAGCTCTTTCTGAATTGTTCCAATGTCCATTTTATATTTCTTCATTGAAACTATAATATCTCATCCTGTGCTTCCCCTCCAGATTACCTTCTCCCATTTTTTTCTTGCTTTGGGTATGTGCCGCTAGGAACTGTTCACAATGTCCATCAGTCTTTTTCTTTTAATTTTGTTATTGCTGTATGTTGTTGACCTTTGACATCCCCACCCATTTCCCAGTCCAATAGAATGGATTCAATGGGTCTACTCTAGTAAAAACTAAAATAGAATTTGTGCCAATGTTATATTATGACTATTGGTACTGTCAACATCAATAGGACAGTATAGAAACACAAACTATATTTGTTTTACTTCATGTGACATCATGATGTGATCTCTCTGTACCATGAAATATTTTCCGTGCATCTCAAAGCCAAGTCCAGAGCATTCAGAAAACCTCTGGAGCATATTTTCAAATATCATTGAATGCTCCAGTAGGAAAAACATTCCACCGAGGTAGCAGCTGAGAGTCAGGACCAGCATCCCCCACATCAGAAACAACAGGAGACTGATTTCCCTTGTTAAGGCTCATTACCCACATCAGACACTGAAACACAATCACAGGTTCAATCACAGGCTCAGGTTCAATCACAGGCTGAGTCCCAACAGCTGGCCACTTGTTTATAAGGTGGTGAATGTGTTGTTAAGGCTTTGGGGTTATTTTGGTGTCTAAGGAACTGAATGAAATGCAAAGATACAGAATGGGGGATACATGTCTCAAGAGCAGTACATGTGAAAAAGATCTTGGAGTCCTTGTTGATAAAAAGTTAAACATGAGCCAACAATGTGATGCGGCGGCAAAAAAAGCCAATGGGATTTTGGCCTGCATCAATAGGAGTATAGTGTCTAGATCCAGGGAAGTCATGCAACCACTCTATTCTGCCTTGGTTAGACCACACCTGGAATATTGTGTCCAATTCTGGGCACCACAATTCAAGGGAGATATGGAGACAAGCTGGAATGTGTCCAGAGGAGGGCGACTCAAATGATCAAGGGTCTGAAGAACAAGCCCTATGAGGAGCAGCTTAACGAGCTGGGCATGTTTAGTCTTAAGAAGAGAAGACTGAGACCAGACATGATAGCCATGTATAAATATGTGAGAGGAAGTCATAGGGAGGAGGAAGCAAGTTTGTTTTCTGGTGCCCTGGAGACTAGGACATGGAACAATGGCTTCAAACTACAAGAATGGAGATTCCATCTGAACATTAGGAAGAACTTCCTGACTGTGAGAGTCGTCCAGCAGTGGAACTCTCTGCCTCAGAGTGTGGTGGAGGCTCCTTCTTTGGAGGCTTTTAAACAGAGGGTGGATGGCCATCTGTCGGGGGTGCTTTGAATGCAATTTTCCTGCTTCTTGGTCGGGGGTTGGACTGGATGGCCTATGAGGTCTCTTCCAACTTCCATGATTCTAAATGCTGGATAGCACCTTTTAAGTTCATAATAAATTTAAAACTGATCTTTTGAGTAATGAATCATGCACATTAATTAATTTTGTTCCTTGGAATTCTTCTTATTTAAGGTAGCTTTCTCTACAGATTCATGAACTAATTTTTGAATTCATTCATTTAATCATTTGCATAGCAAAAGTGATATTATGCAACTGCCACTTAATTTACTCAAACACTGGAAAGAAATCCATTGGAAATCAGGAAATCCAGCATGAAACATCTTCACAAATTCCCTGAAATATAATGTAAAGGAACAAATTGGAAAGTGTGTTAGGGTGCCAGAAAATAAGCTTTAATGTTCTTTGCATCACATTAAAATTATATTACACATGGCAATATTCAATGTTGGTGATCAAAACAGGCACAGGAATACACAAAAAACCTAAACTGGGAGATGGAATTTCTGTAGCACAACAAAATCCTTGTTTATGATCTTTGAGTTTATGTTGATGTTATACCCAGTATCCAGGAGAGTACAACTGGAGAGAACAATTCAGGTCTTGGTAATACATATCAAATATGCTATCTCAGCCACAATTAATTCATAGATAAGATTGTATTTGGACTGAGCTGCCATTTAACTAGAGCTCGAATAGTTTAGGGTTAACTAGTAAAGCAGCTAGAAACAATTTGGTTGAAGAAGAACCAGATGAGGATGCAAGCATATGATATAAAATCAAAAACATTGAAATTCTTTAACTACAGTGTCAAAAACCTCTACAAATCAATGCATGATTGCTTCATTCTTCATTCTAAATGAGATTAGATTAATCATTCCAGTGGAAAGTCTGCAATATTGCTTTGAGTACATGTACTGCTTGATCCTAATGAAGATATTAGAGATTTGCTCACTTGGGACTGGAGTGAACAGATAGGATTGATCTATGAGTAACCAGTTTGTCAAGGAAAAGTTAGAAGAGGGGGAGAAAATATTTTATAAAGTACAGGAACTAAGAAGACAGATAATGGTGGGATGTTCGCAAAGTTAATTGAAGAGGTCAGTCATCATAATGAACTAGGGTAATGGAGTGAACTCTTGGAATTATATTTGATAAGCAAAGTGGCTGTTAGTTTGTTCTGCTGGTTGATGGAGTGAACCAGCAATGAGTGAACATGAAAGGAAACAACTATTTAGTTTCCACTGTAACAGCTACCTTGTCACAAACCAGAAACGGGGTGGAGGAGACCTCCTTTCCTTAAGTGCCCTGCCAGTTATGCCATTGTTGTAGGTGATGTGGAGGGCTATGATTCTTCCCACCATCCTTTTCTTCCAGCCTTGATGATATCATTGCTCATGACAAGAACCTTGATTGTACTCCTTAAGTTGTGGGTGTGTATTTGCCTTCTCAAGCATTGTTAGGTCTGTAGCTGTTGTCAAACAACTCCCCAAATCCCCCAACCATTGGCCATACTAGCTGAACTAAGATCTGCTGTAGAGGTCCAAAGGAAGTGGCTCACTAGAAGTGAACAGGGAACATGTGTGAAGGTGGAGTAAGAGTTGTTAGAATTACTGACTATAGGAGAAATGTCCTAGGAAGAGCAAAGTTCTGTAGGTTCCCACTTATTATGCTGAGGGTCTTCATTACTGTGTGAACTACCAAATAGATTACCAAGGAAATAGTTTGTTCAGTCTGTTGACATCCTGCTTAAATATGCCTTTGTTTCTCTCCACCTCCTCCTCATCTTTATTCTGTTTGGCCAATAGGACTTTACACATATTTTTATATGGAAAAACAGTTTATCTCACAGGTCCCCTTTGAATTACATGCCATCAATTAAATCACTCTTCTAAGAATGTGACACTTGCAGAGTAACATTCTTGGGTGCTTTTTTTTAATGCCGGCAAAAAATGCTAAATCCAAACAAACTTCAGCTGGGCAATTTTTCATTCTTTCATTTAGCAAATGTTGTCAGTTCTCCGACAGGGTACAGAAGATTTCCACGTGTAAATGTTTGCTCTCACTTGTGGCTTTAATTAATACTCCCACGAAATTTCAGGTCTTGGTTTCGTTTCTCAAGTTTTTTTAAAAGGCAGATTTTGAAGACCTATGCCCATATATAGAGTGCAAATCCCAGCTATGTATGCAAAGACAGATTCTCCCTTTCACTGGTTCACTAGTAAATATATAGTTTGAAAATTATGGTGGTCATGTTCACAATTCGCATGCAGAACACTTATTCTACTATTAAGCTATGGTCCTTTCATGAACTTGCAATAGAGCAGTGTTTCTCAACCTGGGGGTCAGGACCCCTGGGGGGGGTGTCAGAGGGGTTGCCTAAGACCCTCAGAAAGCACGGTATTTTCTGTTGGTCATGGGAGTTCTGTGTGGGAAGTTTGGCCCAATTCTATTCTTGGTGGGGTCCAGAATGCTCTTTGATTGTAGGTGAACTATAAATCCAAGCAAGTACAACTCCCAAATGTCAAGGTCTATTTTCTATAAACTCCACCAGTGTTCACATTTGTGCATATTGAGTAGTCATGCCAAGTTTGGTCCAGATCCATCATTGTTTGAGTCCACAGTGCTCTCTGGACATAGGTGAACTACAACTCCAAAACTCAAGATCAATGCCCACCAAATCCTTCCACTGTTTTCTGTTGGTCATAGAAATTCTGTGTGCCAGAATTCCATCTCTGGTGGAATTCCATCTCTGGTGGATTTCAGAATGCTCTTTGATTGTTGATTAACTATAAATCTCAGCAGCGACAACTCCAAATGACAAAATCAATCCCCTCCACCAGTATTCAAATTTGGGCATATCAGGTATTTGTACCAAATTTGGTCCAGTGAATGAAAATATATCTTGCATATCAAATATTTACATTACAGTTCACAACAGTAGCAAAATTATAGTTATGAAATAGCAACAAAAATAATTTTATTGTTGGGGTCACCACAACACAAGGAACTGTATTAAGTGGTCATGGCATTAGGAAGGTTGAGAACCACTTCAATGGAGGGTGTGACTGTGGATTTGGGTCTCAGCAACATATCCATTTCTGAATTTTGCCACTTGCATGGTACTATCCTTTGCCATTATTAGTAATCATTTATTCTTGAACATCCAGTGCTGTGCTTCCAGGATATAAAAAGAAGAAAAAAGAAGAATTTTTATCTCTACAGAAATGGAGATAAAGCATAATATGTGACCATGTCTCCATTTCTTGTGTCGAAATTTAATGCAAACTGTTGAATCATCCAGGAATGAGTCAGTCAATCATTTGCTCAGAGTTTGTTCAATCTGACTGATTTTAATTTCTTTAAATAAAGTCTAGCCTTCTTCTGTTTGTTTTAATAGCAATTCATGCTGCTTCAAGAACTCATGATTTGGAAATTGGTGTCCCGTGTCCTCTTGGCTATTTCCCTTGTGGAAATATCACAAAGTGCTTGCCTCAGCTTCTCCACTGCAATGGGATAGATGATTGTGGGAATCATGCAGATGAAGACAACTGTGGTAAGCTAACCACAAACTCTCACTTTCATGAGTTCACACCACACCAGCACAATTCATGTTTTCAAAGAGAGACATTTTTAGAGTTGAGTCAAGTTTTCTGAACTGTTATTGACATGTGCAGTCAGCCCTTCACATTCACTGGGATTGGGAACCCTGTGACAGTAGAAAAATTGTAAATTAAAAATACTAGTTTTTTACCTGAGACAACCCCTCTGTAGGAATCTCAGTATCTTCTAGTGACCCTATGCTAATATCTAATGCAATGTTTCTCTCCCTGGGACCCCTGGGGAGGTTGTGAGGGGGTTTCAGAGGGATCGCCAAGGAAACATCAGAAAAGATATATTTCTGATGGTCTTAGGAACCACTTTGGCAGAGAAGGTTGAAGATATCTCTGTCTGTCCTTCTCTTCCTTTTTCGAAACAGATGGTGAATCCTCCCACCAAAAGCCTCTCAGCCAAGGAGAGGGCTGTTTCTGAGACTCCAAGCAGGGAAGGGAGAGCAGGTGTGCTCAGCGCATAGCAACGTGGTGCACATGTGTGGGCGAGGGAGAGTGTGCGAGTCTGGGGGGAGGCCCATGCCGGCGAGTCCCTTCAAGACATGGAGGATCTGTGTGGGAAGTTTGGCCCAATCCTATTGTTAGTGGGGTTCAGAATGCTCTTTGATTGTAGGTGAACTATAAATCCCAGCAACCACAACTCCCCAATGTCAAGATCTAGTCTATTTTCCCCAAACTCCACCTGTGTTCACATTTGGGCATACCAAGTATTCGTGCCAAGTTTGGTCCGGATCTATAATTGTTTCTCCACAGTGCTCTCTAGATGTAAACTACAACTCCAAAACTCAAGGACAATGTCCATCAAACCCTTCCAGTATTTTCTGTTGGTCATGGGAGTTCTGTGTGCCACGTTTGGTTCAATTCCATCAGCAGTGGAGTTCAGAATGCTCTTTGATTGTAGGTTAACTACCAATCCCAGCAAGTACAACTCCCAAATGACAAAATCAATCCCCCCATCCCCGCAACCCCACAAGTATTCATATGTGGACATATCGGGTATTTGTGCCAAATTTGGTCCAGTGAATGAAAATACATCCTTCATATCAGATACTTACATTACGATTCATAACAGTAGCAAAATTACAGTTATGAAGTAGCAGCGAAAATAATTTTATGGTTGGGGGTTACCACAACATGAGGAACTGTATTAAGGGGTCATGGCATTAGAAAGGTTGAGAAACACTGATCTAATGGATGTTGACCATAGAGTTACACTGGAGGACCTAGAGCTACCTAGAGAGTCCATATTAAAGCCACAAATGATTTACTATTATTTATTTTCCACTTTTTCTCTCTGAAAAAGAGACTCAAATAAACAATTAAAATCCTTAAAACCAATTTAAAACCTATTCATAACTAAAACCACAGACGTGATCTTGAAAACCTCCTTCTTTAAAAGCCTCCCTGAATAAAGAAGTTTGAGCGTGCCACCAGAAGATTAGCAGGGAAGGGGCTATTCTGGCTTCCCTGGGCAGAGAGTTCCAGAGTCGAGGGGTAGCCACTGAGAAGACACACTCTCTTGTCCCCACCAGCCGAGTTTGAGATGGAGGTGGAACAGAGAGAAGGGCATCTCCTGAAGATCTCAGGGCCCTGATAGGTTTATCCAAGAGATGCTCTCAGCCAAACAGCCTGGACTTGAGCCAACTAGGGCTTTAAAGGCCATAACCAGCACTCTGAATTGGGTCCAGAAACAAATTAGCAGCCCATGGGGTTCCTGCAACAGGGGAGTTGTTCACTCCCTGTAGCCAGCCCCAGATGAAGCAACCTGGCTTCATCTCTTTGGACCAGCTGAAATTTCTGAACAATCTTTGAAGGCAGCCCTATGTAGAGTGCATGACAGTAATCTAAATGATATGTAACTAAGGACCTCATTTGAGAAAGGGTTCCCCCAGTTTCTACACAGTTGTTAAACAGTTTATGGATGGAACCCATTATATAACACAAAACTACTTCTGCCGGTCACCTGTTGCGATACCATCTGTAAACTGTTTCAAAAGTGTGTAGAAACAGAAGATTATGGAATTGGGGAGGAATCATCTTAAGAGCTCCTGATTTGTGCGGAAACAGCTGAAAGTGCTTAATTAAATGTGTGATGGGATCTGTTAGATTCACACATGTTAAATTGCTTTAGTGTTGTTGAAGAGTGGGCTTTCCTGTGGGCAATCTCCAAATAAATTGCACATAATTCTACTTTACTTATTGCACAGCACTATTGGCCAAAAGCTTGGTCCCAAAGCCATGTTTTTACTTGCTTCCTGAAGGTCAGGAGGGAGAGGGCTGACCTGATTTCACTGGGGAGGGAGTTCCATAGCCAAGGGGCCACCACTGGGAAGGTCCTGTCTCTCATCCCCACCAACCACACCTGTGAAAGAGGTGAGACCGAGAGCAGAACCTCCCCAGAAGATCTTAATCTCCAAGATGTTTCATAGAGGAAGATATGTTCGGACAGCTATATCAGGGTGATAGCTTGGAGAAAATGGCAGTGTTTCAATAGTATCAAAGCCTGATTAAGGATGTAATATAAAGAGGATTTTATAAGAGAATAATCTAAAGTCTTGGAATTAAAGTAGAATGCTATGAATTTGAATATATTAATACAACTTCACTGCATGTTTCAGTAGTTTCAGACTGCTCATCCTATCTGCTGTGTACTGAAAGTACTGAGAAGATCCATTACAAATGCCATAAGGTTATAAAAATTTATAGCCTTATTTTTTTGTGACTCATACTTATTGATGTGATAGGAATAGTAAATTATGAACACAGAAAGTCTTTCTCTAGATAGGAAAATGAACATGAGATGTGCTTACCTCAGAGCTTGGTAAAGCTGTTTTTGTTTTCAAACTGTGGCTCCCAGAATTGTCCAGCCAGGAAGAGCATTAGTCCAAATGCCTGCAGTTCATACCTCTCTGATCTAGGAATTTTGAACTAGAAAAGATGAACAGAAGCATTTAAGGTTTGGGTGCATTCTCAAGAATGGTTGGTTGTCCCATGTCAATGGGATAATGAGTTCACTTTGAGTTTTAGTCTGAGACTTTAGAAAAGTTGTTAAAGATGCCAAAGCAATTTTGAAATAGAGCTCAGCATCTTGGATAGCTGTCTTAAAATTTAGTAAAATAGTAAAAAGTAAAATTTTGAATAGATTTACTGATCCACAGACATGGAATCCAGTAGCACGACAAGGCATTTGCTCAAGGTCACCCAGTGGGTTTCCATTACCAAGTGCAGATTTGAGCCCTGATTTCCCAGTATCTGAGTGCAACAAGCACTACATCAAACCACTATACTACACCACCTGTCAAGTTTACAACTGGAATATCAAAAAACAACCCAGTCCCTATGGTTTTTCACATCACTGTCTCAGTCTTCACCCCCAATTAATGTCACCCATCTGCTCCAAAATTTAAAAGGCTCGCGCCAGTGCACTCAATAACAGAAGCACCAGGGAAAGTTCACTGGTGGCCCAAACTCTCCAAAAACACTCTTGATGATTAGACCCCTGGCTACTATCCCAGTTTTATTATATTATAACCCAACAGAATTGCCTCTTGGCAGTTGTTCTTGGAAAAATAACAAATTCTTGCTCTTGAATTATTGTGTTATCAAAGAAGAACATAGTAGAAAAAGTCAAATACAAATTGCTTCCAGACTTTCCACTATAGATAAAGTTTTGTGTCTAACAAATATTAAACTCATGGATGAATACTAAACCTCTTGAGGTTTTTTTGGCTTGGCCTCTCTCTTGAATCTTTTTGATTTTCTGTTATTTTCTTGATTCTTTTTATTTAGGGGACTTTTTGGGAGTTTAGAAAATGTGGAACGGGTGGGTAGGGTGCATGCTGTGTTTAGGGGCTTGGAGAGTCACCCTTTTAGCTTCCTTTTTTCCTCCCCTCCTCTTCTTCAGAATATATACTTCTAAAAGATAACAATAATAATAATCCTAGCAAACAAAAAGAAAAGCCTCATTCTCAGAAAACTACTACCACCTAGTTACTCTAGAGTAGAAAGTAGAAATAGTTCAAGCAAGCATTACACCCAAAAGGGAGAGGCGCCATTTCAGGCAGGCCCTGGAGAGTGATTTTAAAAGGAAACAGTAGGATAGCTCCAGGTCAATCGCTCTTCCTTCCCTGGGAAGTGGGAAGACTTCTTAAAATGACTTGGAAAGCTGCATGCAGGGAGAGAGTGCGTACACCTGTAGCTCCTGTCTCCTTGAGCCTTAAACCTGCTTTCCTCTACAGCAGTGGTTCTCAACCTGGGGTCCCCAGATGTTTTTTGCCTACAACTCCCAGAAATCCCAGTCAGTTTACCAGCTGTTAGGATTTCTGGGAGTTGAAGGCCGAAAACATCTGGGGACCCCAGGTTGAGAACCACTGCTCTACAGACAGAAGGGGAAAGGATTGCAGAAAGAGTGGTATCTTAACTTTGATGCTTTTAATCCAGGCCTTAATGAAGGATATAAGGACAAACAATGGCTAAAATAATGGGGAGGGGAGCCTGGGAAGCCCCTCCTTCCATAATGGGACAGATAGAAAACAAATATTTTGGCTTCCCAGATCGAAAACAGATTTCTGTTCTCCCAAATTTGGGAGGCTCCCGAAAAAAAGATCAGGACCCCAACTGAAATCCACAGCACCGAAATGGATTGCGGTTCACCCAGATTGCACAAGTATATAATTTAGGTCTGATTTCTTTTAGAATCCATGTATTTGCAGAAATTTTCTCAAGCTCCATGTCTAAAATGTGTCGCTTTTCTTCCTATCAGCCTTTTTGATTGTTTGTTTTTTACAACCATACGTTAAAATGAGGAACATAATGACACAGGCCACCCTGACTTTACATTTCAGTGATATATCTTTAAATTTTCAGATCTTCTTCCCCTCCAAACCCTAGTCTACTTTTGAATTTTTGACTGCAGTCACCACCCTGATTAAGATCAAGTGGGATCAATTGGAACTTAAATAGTCCTTGCATTTTTCCCATTTGTCTTTCCTCATATCTATGTACTAGTGCCTTTTGCTTCTTTCTTATCCATTGAGATTATCTCCCTTCTTCAAAAGATTAGTTCTTTCTGTTATCTCTGTCTGAGAAGAGAGCAGTCATGTGGCTCCAACACAAATAATACCTGCAATCTTAGCTCTGCATATCATAAATAGCAGTGCTCACATAATGCCTTTTATCTATCTCTTTTCTTACCAATTGTAAATTTTCTGGGAAAGGCAATGTAAGTTTTCCACTTTATCTTATCAGAAAATCAGGACTCCATCTTCTACCATAAGCTCATGTTTCCAACTATTATCCACATAACATAAATACAAAATATTACTACAATTTTTCAGACTCCGGCTTTTAAAATCATTTTGTTTTTCCCTTGATAGGTTCCTCCTCAAGACACCTCTTGTTCCTTTTTTGCAGTTTTATTATGCATTATTTTGTGGTTCTCAGTGGACATCAAAGCAATTCTAAATAATCTTGAAAATCAATGTAATAAAACATGTAAAAGAAGGTGTGCCAGTTCCCCTCTTCAAAATAATTCATACTAACATGTCCCATCTCAAGATTTATCCTGTTTCGGGGGGGGGGGGGGGAATCTCAATGTGATAAAAATTTTTCACTTGGATCCAAAAAAGAATAGCTGACTTTAGTTCTGATAGCTCCCATATAACGGTAGTGGAAAACGTATTCAAGTGCAGTCAGTAATACATTTGGAATTGTGATATAACACAAGAAGTGTGTTGTATGACCAAAATAAAACAATACTGCATATAAAACCAGTGTCCCACCCTTTTTGGAAAAATATTTATGAAATGTTTTGCCCAAACAAAAGACCAGTTCTGGAACTGGGATAATGGACTATGTAATGAGCTTCTGGAACTGGCATAACAGACTATGTAATGAGCTTCTGGAACTGGGATAATGGACTATGTGATTAGCTTCTGCTCAGTTGGAAAAATCTCTTCCCTAGACAAAAAGAGTTTCTAATAGCAGTAGGATATTCCTAGATCAAAGGCAGTATTTGGCCAGCATTGCAGCCAATTAAATAATTTAGGAAGAAATAACATTTTGAGCACCTGAGTTGCTACTGCCCTCTGAAATCAGAAGCCCAGCATGTTCATTATTCACTTTTGGCAGTACTGAGAGAACATTTTTTAATTTAATCAATGTATGATCATATCCATCATCTGCACATCAGATATAATGAAGACCATGATGATTTATGGATCCAATATGCATTTCCTCAGTGATTGAGTTCTCTCCTCTAATGCATTAGCAAAAATGCACTTATGTCTGGGTATTTCTTGATATTCCTAGCAAAGAAATTAAAGTGTTCCTATTATGATCTTGACTGCGATTGGCTTATCAATAAAATGAGGAGACAAAAAAGAGGAAGAGTAGTGAGCACCTATAGTTGTCCTATTGATTAGTGTAGAGACACTGTGTATATCTGCTCAGAATTAAGCCCTATTGATTTCTATAGAACTTACCCCAGGTATATTTTGGTATAAGACTGAAGCCTTTAAAATTCATATCCAGTATGAAAAGTAGCAGTTTCTTCAATCAGATTTATGTGGAAGGCAGATTCAGTCCTAAATCTGTAAAATTGCAGAATGCCGAAAAGGAGTCCTTTATTTCATAATATTGTCCTTGTCAGGGAAGCATCCAAAGGCTACAGCTTTGTGTGTGCCATAATGAATAATTTGAAGTTTTATAAAATACAGAGAATGAAAGTGGTAGATTAGAAAAAAATCATACAAATATGATACATGAGAATGGAGTGTGTTGCTCCTGTATTAGGCATGTGCCTTTCTGCTTATACCCTCACCACCCACCTTGAAATAGATACTAGCACTGCAATTGTTACTACTAGAACTGTGTTTTTAATTTCTGTCTGATAGTCAAATTGCTCCAGCAACCCTGTTCCTTTGTGTAATTGCATTTCATTCCTGTGCAATTGATCTTTGGAACGGCCCTGGATTATGGTTGAGGATGGCATGGATCTCATGTATTGAAAATGTGGAATATTGCTTAATTGTGCAGACAAGTGTATGGACTGGGAAAACAAATTCTAATGGTTTACATTTCTACCTGAAATAAGTCTTTGGAAAATACTTTAGATTACTGCAGGGATACTTCAGAAAAATGCATCATTATTAGGAAATCCATTTCTCCTCCAGGTATTTGGAGGATTGCAGCTAAACTGAGAGTAGCAAGGTCTAAGAGGGTGGCAGATGATAGATATCTAAGTCCCTGATGTTCAAGAGGTTTGAGGTCTTCACTCTCATGAGGCTCGTTTCTACTTCACTGCTGGTTAAGGTGAACAATTGGGTTTAACCTTTAGAGTGCATTTTTAAAGATGGAAAAACAATCACTTGATCACTTTAAAAATTTTAATAGGTGATAACACTGGATGGCCCCAGCAACTGGATGTCATTTACAAGAAAAAGCTATTGGAATATGCGTTGGAAGAGGACATTGAAGAGTGCTGTAAGTAGTGAGAGTGAATGTGTATGTATGTGTGGAGGAAGGAAGTGCAAGCATCAAACTGTAAAAGCTAAAACCATTAAACCCTGGAACATCGCCCTATTAGTGTGAAAGAGAATGAAGTTTCAAAAGAAATGCCAATTCATTTTTAGAAAACTGAGATAGATATATCTTTATAAACAAGATAACTCAAAATGTATTGAAACAGCTTCCTCGGATAAAAAATGAACTTCTGTGAAGAAATAAATGTAATCATAAATGTTTTTGAATAAGAGTCAATTGTCACTCTTTCTCAAGATACAAGGTATATATATACACTGCACAGTTATATTTAGTATTATTATTACCTTCCTTCTTCCTTCCTTCCATCTTCCCTAGCCCTGGACCTAGTGTGGCTTGCAAAAGTTGAAACAGCGTTAAAGGTTTATATCATATAAAAGTTAAAATAGAATTAGTCTATCAATAGAATTAAAACTTTCAGTTTGAAATCGCTATAATAAACAATACTTCTTCCAAGAAAATCCTAGGAATTATTGCTTAGTGAAACTACAAAGCACAAGATCACCAAAGATGAAACCATGGCAGTTAAAATTGTATCAAACTGCTGTATCTCGTAGTATGTGGCAGCAACCGACTTCTCTGAAGTTGGGAACGAGTGCTTCCTCATAAGGTGTCTCATGGCAGCCCTTTAAATCTGGGAAGATGGAACCATATTTATGTTTATATTGATGCACTAGCTGTACCCGCCACACATTGCTATGTCCAACCTTCCCTCCCTCTTTCCCTCCTTCTTTCTTTCTCTCCTTCCTTCGTTTTTTTTTCCTTCCTTCCTTCCTTCCTTCCTTCCTTCCTTCCTTCCTTCCTTCCTTCCTTCCTTCCTTCTCTTCCTCCCCCTCCCCGTTTTCTTTCTCTTCTTCTTTCTTTCTCTTTCTTCTTTCTTCCTTCTCTACCTACTCTTGGACTGCAACTCCCAGCAGTCCTCTTGATCAATCTATCTACCTACCTATCGATTACTATCTAATCTATCTATCTGGAAGATTGCTGAGAGTTGCAGTCCAGGAATACGATATTGGAAATATGCAGGAATTGGGATTCTCTCAAAGAAATCCAAGGAGAAGAAAGCTCGCAGCTCGGAAGCAATGCATTTGGATCATCCTCCTCTCCTAAAGGGCCTGGTCTAGGGGATGCTGGGAGCTGTAGTCTGGAAGAGAGTGTGGATATGCTATTGTGAGTTTTGTTTGCCAGGGGGAGAACAAAACTCCCCCTGCGCATGCTCTGTAGCGTCTTTTTGCTTTTTTGGCTTTTAAGTCCCTTCTGCTGTATTTTTCCGTGTTTTTATGAGTGATGGTCACTAATTAACCTAATAGGTGTATTGTGTCCAAATTTGGTGGCAATTTGTCTGCTTGTTTTTAAGTTATGTTAAACCCACAAACGAACATTACATTTTTATCTATATAGATATTGGATACTGGATCTCTGCTGCCTTAGAGGCAAATAAGACAGGTGGTTATTTAAAACTATTACTGACAAGTGGAAGAGGAGCTGGTCTTTTGTTTCCTCTGTCCTGTTTGACTAAGCACCCTATTGCAATTTTCTAGAGCACAGACATACTAGGTGATTGGTTTGTAGAACTTGTAGAGAGAAGGAAGAGGTATGGCTCTAATTCTGTGCTTCAAAGAAGTTGTTTATTTTGTGGAAATTGACCGACAGGGTTCAGCTAAAAGTATTTTTCAGGGAAAAGGGAGCTTAATGTGTCTTCAAATAAAAAAATAGCTCATATGTTAAAACATTAGCATAAATAAAGACCGCAAGGAAGGCACTAGAGATGGTGTCCTGCTGTTGTGATTTCAGTTTCTCCAAGAGCCACAGGCTTAGAGGCCCGATGTATCTAGCTTCCCAGAAGCCTGAATGAGACACAGAACGATGGAAGGCAAGTTGTTGTTGTTCATTCGTTCAGTCGTCTCCGACTCTTCGTGACCTCATGGACCAGCCCACGCCAGAGCTCCCTGTCGGCCGTCACCACCCCCAGCTCCCTCAAGGTCAGTCCAGTCACTTCAAGGATGTCATCCATCCATCTTGCCCTTGGTCGGCCCCTCTTCCTTTTGCCTTCCACTTTCCCCAGCATAATTGTCTTCTCTAGGCTTTGCTGTCTCCTCATGATGTGGCCAAAGTACTTCAACTTTGTCTCTAGTATCCTTCCCTCCAGTGAGCAGTCGGGCTTTATTTCCTGGAGGATGGACTGGTTGGATCTTCTCGCAGTCCAAGGCACTCGCAGAACTTTCCTCCAACACCACAGCTCAAAAGCATCGATCTTCCTTCGCTCAGCCTTCCCTAAGGTCCAGCTCTCACATCCGTAGGTGACTACAGGGAATACCATGGCTTTGACTAGGCGGATCTTTGTTGCCAGTCTGATGTCTCTACTCTTTACTATTTTATCGAGATTGGACATTGCTCTCCTCCCAAGAAGTAAGCGTCTCCTGATTTCCTGGCCACAGTCTGCATCTGCAGTAATCTTTGCACCTAGAAATACAAAGTCTGTCACGGCTCCACGTTTTCTCCCTCTATTTTCCAGTTGTCAATCATTCTTGTTGCCATAATCTTGGTTTTTTTTATGTTTAACTGCAACCCAGCTTTGCGCTTTCTTCTTTCACCTTGATTAGAAGGCTCCTCAGCTCCTCCTCGCTTTCGGCCATCAGAGTGGTGTCATCTGCATATCTGAGGTTGTTAATGTTTCTTCCAGCAATTTTCACCAGCTTTGCATTCATCAAGCCCCGCACATCGCATGATGTGTTCTGCATACAAGTTAAAAAGGTTGGGTGAGAGGATGCAGCCTTGCCGTACGCCTTTCCCAATCTTGAACCAGTCTGTTGTTCCGTGGTCAGTTCTGACTGTTGCGACTTGGTCCTTGTACAGATTCCTCAGGAGAGAGACAAGGTGGCTTGGTATGCCCATCCCACCAAGAACTTGCCACAATTTATTATGATCCACACAGTCAAAGGCTTTAGAATAGTCAATGAAGCAGAAGTAGATGTTTTTCTGAAACTCCCTGCTTTTCTCCATTATCCAGCGGATATTGGCAATTTGGTCTCTCGTTCCTCTACCTTTTCTAAACCCAGCCTGAACATCTGGCAACTCTCGCTCCATGTATTGCTGGAGTCTTCCTTGCAGGATCTTGAGCATTACCTTACTGGCATGAGAAATAAGGGACACTGTACGGAAGTTGGAGCAGTCTTTCGCATTTCCCTTTTTTGGTATGGGGATATAAGTTGATTTTTTCCAGTCTGATGGCCATTCTTGTGTTTTCCATATTTGCTGGCATATGGCATGCATCACCTTGACAGCATCATCTTTTAAGATTTTAAACAATTCAGCTGGGATCCCGTCGTCTCCTGCTGCCTTGTTGTTAGCAATGCTTCTTAAGGCCCATTCAACCTCACTCCTCAGGATGTCTGGTTCTAATTCATTCACAACACCATCAAAACTATCTGCAATATTATCCTTCCTATACAGATCTTCTGTATAGTCTCGCCACCTTCTCTTGATCTCTTCAGCTTCTGTTAGGTCCCTGCCATCTTTGTTTCTTATCATACCAATTTTTGCCTGAAATTTACCTCCAATGTTTCTAATTTTCTGGAAGAGGTCTCTTGTCCTTCCTATTCTGTTGTCTTCTTCCACTTCCATGCATTGCTTATTTAAAAATAATTCCTTATCTCTTCTGGCTAACCTCTGGAATTGCGCATTTAACTGGGCATATCTCCCCTTATCACTGTTTCCTTTTGCTTTCCTCCTTTCTTGGGCTACTTCCAGTGTCTCAGCAGACAACCATTTTGCCTTCTTGGTTTTCTTTTTCTTTGGAGCGTACTTTGTTGCCGCCTCCTGAACAATGTCGCGGACTTCTGTCCATAGTTCTTCTGGGACTCTGTTTACTAAATCTAGTCCTTCAAATCTGTTCTTCACTTCCACTGTATATTCGCTAGGAATGTTAGTGAGATCATATCTAACTGGTCTGTGTATTTTCCCTGATCTCTTTAGTTTTATTCTAAATTGGCAATAAGAAGTTAGTGATCTGAGCTACAGTCAGCCCCAGGTCTTGTTTTCACCGACTGGATGGATGTCCGCCACCTTTGGCTGCAAAGGATGTAGTCAATCTGATTTCGGTGTTGACCGTCTGGTGAGGTCCATGTGTAAAGCCGTCTTTTAGGTTGTTGGAAGAGAGTATTCGTTATACACAGCGAGTTTTCCTGGCAAAATTCTATCAGCCTGCGTCCCGCTTCATTTTGTTCTCCCAGACCATGCTTGCCTGTGATCCTAGTTGTCATTTGACTTCCCACCTTGGCATTCCAGTCTCCTGTAATGAAAATAATGTCTCTTTTTGGTGTATTATCCAGTAGGTCCTGCAGATCCTCATAGAACTGATCTACTTCTGCTTCTTCCGCAGCTGTGGTTGGGGCGTATATTTGGATCACTGTAATGTTGAAAGGCTTTCCTTGCACTCGAATTGAGATCATTCTGTCATTTTTTGGGTTGTATCCAAGCACCGCTTTAGCGAATTTCTTATTAATTATGAAGGCTACTCCATTTCTTCGATGTTCCTCTTGTCCGCAGTAGTAGATCTGGTGGTCATCTGATGTGAAGTGGCCCATTCCAGTCCATTTCAGTTCGCTGGCCCCCAGAATGTCTATCTTTAGTCTTGACATCTCACCAATAACAACATCCAATTTGCCCTGGCTCATAGATCTTACATTCCAGGTTCCTATGGTGTGTTGATCTTTAGAGCATCGGATTCGTCGTTCACCTCCAGTACCGTCGGAGGCTAGCCTTCCTTTCGGCTTTGAGCTAGCTGCGTCATCACATCTGGGGCTAGTTGAACTTATCCTCTGCTCCTCCCCAGTAGCATTTTGGCCATCTTCCGACCTGGAAGTCCCATCTTCCAATGGCATACCGACATATCTCTGGTTGTACTGGTCCATTTAGTTTTCTTGGCAAGGATACTGGAGTGGTTTGCCATTGCCTTCCCCAGGGATCACGCTTGGTCTGACCTCTCTGCCACAACCGTCCCGTCTTGGGTTGGCCCTTCACGGTTTCGCTCATGACATCATTGAGGTGCTCAAGCTCCAGCGCCCCGACAAGGCGGTGATCCTTTGCTGGAGGTATGCGTTATACAGTTGTTAAAAAACTTAGTTTAAGTGACTGCATAACAAAACTGAAAATGATTTATCCATCTATCTTTCAGTATCAGAATAATCGTGCTATTATTCTCTCTGACCATAGAGGGTGTCAGCTGAGAAAGCACGCCAAAGAACTGACATACTGCACATATTTATTACATTTGACAGCTTTTCAGGATTCCTCCACTAGCTCCTGATTGGTCCAGATGTGGTCAGCTAGGATATGCTCAGTGGTTGGTTCAGGGTTTCCTCTGACATTATAAGTGGCTGGCTCTTGCTTTGGTGGGAATTTTAATAAAAGTGTAATTAGGGTATTTTGAAGTGTTTGGCTGTTTATTGAGCTGCCCAAGAGAGAGGTGTGATTGGAGAGGATGAAATATGGCAACTGTCATGATGGGTTTAATGGTCTGGCTCTGGTAAACACAAATGAGTTAATCAAAGATAAACAATGGGTGCTTTAGGTAGATAGCCATTTCAATGTGTGTCAAAAGAATGGTTCTTGCTTAGGGCATAGGGGAGGAAAACATTCCCAGATCATATCAGGTGAAAACAGGAAAAGTATCCCGGGCTCTGACACAAGTTCATTATATGTTCCTCTCCTATCCCTCAGTCCATTGTGAGAGAAGTATGGTAATTTGAGAAAGGGTTTCCTGAGATCCAGGATGTGTTAGACAACATTTCAAAAATAATTCATGAATGTGTTAATACAGGACAAAGCCACACACAAGAACTGTATGTTCCAATGCAGCTGCATTTCACAATTCATGTAATTCATATAATTCATAATTTAGGGTCCAATTTCTCAAAAACACTGCAGCTGAGGGATTACTGTTACAATGGTCTTTTTTGGCAGGATTGTCTCCAACTAAAGAAGACCTAGAAGTCCAAATATGCATATGTGGGTGTAAGAGGTGTAATATATTACACAATCGTTGTGTGCATAACCTTATTTCTCTTCTTTCTACATTTGTCTCTCCTATCCTTCTTCCCTCATAAATCTGCCTTAACCATGACATTTTCTTTTCCTAGTGATTGATCCTGTGCCGACAGAATGTTTGTGTCATGGCTTAGAGCTAGACTGTAGTGGTGCCAGTTTGGATTCCGTTCCTTTGGTTTCTTCGAATATAACACTGATGTAAGTAGAAAAAGACATTTCACTGACTATATTAGGTGAACTGCTTTAGACCTGAGAGCATGATTATTATACACAAGACTACCCCCAGGAACCATATAAAATCTGGAGCTCCTCATTAAGCCATTTTTCTTGTGACCTGATAGCACATAGAAAATCATTTGAATTCAAAGTTATAAAGGTCAGTTTGCAAGAAATTACAAGTAGGAAAACATTTTCAGCTGAATAGAAATGGCCTTTTTCTGTTGAGATTAAAACATTAAGGACCTCTTCACATGGCCAGCAGTAGCGCTCCTCTTCACCATGAGGTGTAGGGAATCTGGTGACCCACACCTGACGTCACGTTCCCTCACCGTGCATCGCCCACCAGGAGGGCAATCACATGGAGGAAAGTGTGGGACGTACATGGTGTGCATGGCTCTCCCCTTACATTTGGCACCATGGGAACCCTCCCATGTTGCCTGGACGGCAACACACTTGTCCCACCCTTCTGCACCCACAGAATCAGCATGACATCGTGTGAACGGAGCCAGTTGCCGAATCTAGCCCTATCTGATGGGTCGGAAGAGTCACAAGGCTTATTTCATGTGTAAATATGCAATTAAAAGTACTCATAACATTTTTGTTTTCAGTGTAAATAAGGATTCAAGCTGTAGTTGTCTATTGTGTACTTTATGTTTCTTCTTTCACAAGAAACTAATTTTAATTTTTTATGCTGTATAGGATTTGTAATACAGGATGTACTACAGTCCTGTTCCAGTCATGAAAGTACAGTTGTCTCGCACGGAACAACTAAGAGATTTTTTAAAAACAACCAAAAAAAAACCACTATACTGAGTACCTCATCCAAATTGTTTGTAGTACTGGAAGGCCCTCTAGGGTTTATGATGGTTCAGTACAGAAAAGATTACTCAGCTTTAGGAACTTATGAAAGTAACAAAAAGTTCCAAAAACGGAATGGTGATAACTATGTTTTAGTCACTGGATAACTCAGAAAGCTACTAATTCATACACCCTAGAATTGAAAAGTTGACATTCTTCAATATAATTTCTACTTTTCTTACACAACTTTCTGGGAAAGGAGAAGCAGTTATAGGCTTCAAAAATAGGAGGTAAAAGCAGTGTATACTCTCATCCATTAACACTATTGTTTTAATTGCAGATCTCTGCAAATGAATCTACTGACAAAACTGGTTGCCAATGGCTTCAAAATATATCAGGATCTAAAGTACCTGTAAGACATTGTTTTAACTTCAAATATTCTATTACAAATATCAACCATGAAACCTATTGTTTTGTGATGTAGTGACTAAAGGTGAGCTCACAGTTTATATTTCTCATGTGATAATTGGGACTATGGCTTGAAAATCTGAGTTTCTGACTTGCCCCTGTCATAGTTCTTGATTTTTGCTAAAAAGTTTTATGGTAGTTAAGAGGCATTCGCTCTATTGGGTGTTTGCCATTTGCTGAACCAACTCTGTGAACTTACTCCGAGGTTACAAATTGTGTCTTCTAATATGGGAGCAATTTAATTGTGATGTTTGTAGTCTATGATGTGAGATCAAGAAGAAGCACTGTGTACTGACTGGTGTTGCAATGGCCATAGCATTATTGTTTATTCCTCACAATGTTTGCATAACACTGAACATGTGTCTTCAATGGGTCAATAAGACCCTTGTCTTCTAGATCCTGCAGTCTGATCTAGTATCACTTCCAGTTCCCATTTTCTGCTGGTTTTTTGGTTGGAAGATGTCTATGCACAAGGTTTTGGTGACTTTTGGACAGTTTGAAAATAGACAATTGTCAAGAAATCTGGAAAAAAGTGTCGCATGGGGGTGGGATTTTTCCAACCAATTTTTTTCAGGTTAAAAAAAACCTGGTTTACTCATGAATTTGAACTGGTAGGACTGGTTAACCAAATCCCCATGCTAAGTCTATGAGAAGCAAAATTTAAACAAGTCCCTTCAGAACTGTAAGCAATTTATTCACACTGTCATTACTTTCAGAAATAGCTGATATAGTTGAAGCAACCAAGTTGGCCCACTCATACCTGGCAAGCAAAGCCTGAGAGAGGGGGATGTGAAGACCCTCATGAAGGAGACCAGACTTGGTGGGGGCGGTTGACAGGGGTGGAGCTGCAGGCTATTTAAGGCTTCTCTGCCTTCCTGCTGTGCTCTTTGCTTCAGCGTGAGGTAGGAGGCAGGTTCCTAATAGGAATTAGGCCTTTCCATCTTTGTTCCACCCCTTCCCTTTTCCAGATAGTAGAGTTCCCATTGTTATGCCTATATATAGGTCATTTTCAACTGAAAAAGCACAATCGGGCAAGAAACACTGACTTGTCCACTGAAGTTTATCAGTGGAAACTGATTTCTGTCAAAGTGTATTGACACAGTTTTCAAGTGTTTCCAACAGACGTTGTGGTATTCTTTTGTAACTATAAATTACCAATTAATAGTCATTTTCAGTTATTTTAAGACTTGAAACTTGATTTAATTAAATCTATATAAAAATATAGAATAAACCATACTATTTAAAGTATTTTGTGCTATGGAACTACTTTTAATTTTTCGCTTTTTTAAAAAAGTTTCTACCCCCTCTCCCCCCCCCCAAAAAAAATATATGTTTTTTTCTGGATATGGCCCTGATTCAGTTCAATAACATCAACACCCAAATGCCTTCCCAATGCATTAAGAAGTTCTAATGGTAATACAAATAATTTATAAAAATTGTTAGAAGGAAGATACAACCTAGTCATGACTGATTCCTTTCCAGACTTATTAGCTGGCAGCACACTTTTGCCATCACAACATAATGAGCACTGAAACTCTATGTAGGCATCACCAAGGACAATGCTGAAATCCTAAGCGGAGACCCTTATTTCTAGCTTGGAAATTAACTAGTATGGAACAATTTCTCCCTCTGCTCTGTTCCATATCCAGAATGCTACCTAATTGGCCTGCAGGAGTGAGACCTATGTCAGTTCAGTTCATTACCAGCCATGCAAGAAGGAGGACTTATTTGCTTCCTGACTCCCACAACAAACGCAGCAATGGGCTCCAGTAGTAAAAATCCAAAGCTTGCTGCAAAAAAACAAAAACAAAAACAAAACCCTACAAACATTCCAGGGAGGTTGCTAAATTAGAAATAAATTTAATTTAGGTACTGTATTTACAGTTACATTTCATCCAATAATCTCACACATGTGTATGAAATTATTGGTTGGACAAAAAATAAATAAGATAGTGTGAATTGTCTTGACCCTTCCAACCCTTTGTTTTCCCCACTGTTTGGTATTAATATTGACTTATGGTCACCTTAGGGTCACCATAAGTCAGAAACAACTTGAAGGCACACACAACAATGATGACACTTTACATAATGTCTGAGAAAATGAATTAAAGTGGAGACGTGTAAGTTGCAGACATATGTTTATGCCGTATAAAGAATTTTTTTAATAAATAGTGATTGTCATTTAATTTGCAGGTTTCTCCAAAACAATAACATAAGCACCGTATCGGGACAGGCTTTCAGGGGACTCTACAATCTGACAAAGCTGTAGGTATTGCCTCTGCAGTTTAGCGCAATAACAATCCACACATTAACAAATAAATTTAGAAAGCACGTCAGGATTTCACTGTCACATGCTATCTGCCTTTCTTAATAAAATTCTCAAAATCACCCAATTAGTGATGACTTTGACACAAGTAGGTGTTGAGTGAGAAACTGTAGTATACTGCTAAAGAATTGTATGTTTACAAATTCAGTGGGATAAATGCTAAGAACATTTGGCATAGCTATGAGAAATTCAATTCTATCACAGGAGTCCAAATACCACTCTGAATAACTTACTGAAAGGATTAAGCACAAAAGCAACAATATGAATGTATAATGAATAACAAGGAGTAGCTCAGCAATGGGTATTAACCATTGTGCTGTCTTTGATCTTATTTCAGATATCTCAGTCACAATAAGATAACCTATTTGAAGCCCTATGTCTTTGAAGATCTACATAAGCTTGAATGGCTGTACGTATTATCTTTCTATTAGATTAATGCTGCAATCCCAAATAAATATAATTGGGGAATAAGTGATTCAAAGGAAATAACCTCTGAGTAATCATGTTTACTCTGCATGTGTATTCCTTCAAATCTGATATCAAATCTGAGCTCCTTCAAATATCAGGAATATAGGATATCTTTCTCATCACCACTTTCATGTTTTGTTAGACTTCTGTTTCGGGGAACTGAAAATTCACTTGGAAATGAAACCAGAAGTTTTGTTGGAGACTTCTTAATTGTCCTGAAAATGTTGCTGAGTGTCTTTTTTTATGAAACTACCAGCAGACCCATAGTTGTTGTGGCGTAATGTAAAATAACACAAAAGACAATGGATTCCCAAAATCGCAAACACAAATTCACTACAAGTCATAGTACATAAATCGCAAAGGTAAATGTTTTTTGCAGCTTATATAATACAATATTAAACATATAGCCAACTTATATAATACATTGAGCGATATAGAAGGAACAAAACTGTTATTTATACAGTGATATTACATCAGTCACAAAAGCAGAGTCTTTCTAGCTGTAAAGCAGACTTCTCTTAAGGGCATAAGATCCCTTTCTTTAAATATACTATTGAGTGGAGCTTCCAATCCCTTGTAAGAGGATATCCATGTAATGTAAAATAAACCATACGTAGTTCACGTTTGATCAGCCCACACACTGGCTTGTCAGAGAAAGAAACATGCCACACAGGTGAACAGTAAAGAACAAGTCATTTACTCTTCTTAATTCAGAACAACATATGTACAGTGTGATCATTTGCATCAACTCACATAATGTCCTTTTAGGAGAGATTTAAAATGGTCTTTCTTTGTCCATATGGAAAATCTTCCTTTAGCAGCTCATTAAGGAAGAGTACACGTCAAACTCTCTCTCTGCTTGTTATCTCTCTGTGCACTTGCATAGCTCAAGCTCGAACAAAAATGTAACAGTAACCAAAAGTCCCAGGCTCGGCCTCCTCCCTGGGCATTGTCCGACAAATCAGCTTCATGCATCTTATTTTACAGTGGGCACACATACATTCACTGATTCCTTGCATGCTCCAACAGTTGTTAGATCAACCTTTTTAAGTCTTTTAAAGGACAAGGACACAATGGACAGTTCAAATCCCCTGATTGGTCTCCATGCAGCCTATGAGTTCTATCTAGTCCATCACTGTTCAATTCATTATCTGCATGTCTGGGAACAGATTACTTTCTCCTGTGTAGCCATGAGCCAAAGGGTGACAGTAAAGGAAACTGCATATCAGAACATACCTATCATAAATCAACATTACTAGAGGAGGCTTGAAGAAGGTTGCCATTTCCAACATGGACTGTTCAAATGTCTGCATTTGCTTAGTGTGTGCACTTGAAAATAAACTCAATTTTTACAATACTTTAATAACACTCTTTCATAAGAATCCAGTCCTGGGTTGTTGTTGTTGTTGTTATTATTATTATTAGAGATGTAGAGACGACCTGCCTAAGAAAAAAATATAAAATGGAAAAGAAACTCATGAATCATAGAGTTGGAAGAGACCACATGGACCATCCAGTCCAACCCCCTGCCAAGAAGCAGGAATCACATTAGAGCACTCCTGACGTATGGCCATCCAGACTCTGTTTAAAAACTTTCAAAGAAGGAGCCTCCACCACAGTCCAAGGCAGAGAGTTCCACTGCTGAACATTTCTCAGAGTTAGGAAGTTATTTCTAATTGTTCAGGTGGAATCTCCTTTCCTGCAGTTTGAAGCCATTGTTCTGCGTCCTAGTCTCCAAGGCAGGAGAAAACAAGGCTGTTCCCTTCTCCCTATGACTTCCTCTCACATATTTATACATAACTATCATGTCTCCTCTCAGCCTTCTCTTCTGCAGGCTAAACATGCCCAGCTCTTTAAACTACTTCTCATAGGGGTTGTTCTCCAGTCTCTTGGTCATTTTACTTGCTTTTTAATGGATACATTCCAGTTTGTCAATATCTCCCTTCAATTGTGGTGCCCAGAATTGGACACAGCATTCCAGGTGTGAGCTGACCAAGGCAGAATAGAGGGGTAGCATGACTTCCCTGGGTCTTGACCACACATTGCAAACTTGGACCCTCCAGGTGTTTTGGACTTCAACTACCACAATTCCTAACAGCTATGGCATTTTTAGCTGCGACGTAACATTGTTGGCTCATATTTAACTGGTTGTTCATGAGGACTCAAAGATCTTCATATGTACTGCTATTGAGCCAGGCACCCCCCATTCTGTACCTGAAAATTTGGTGCAACACTAAAAACATTGATTGCACGTTGGTTTTGAGGAGGCCTTCTTTTTGGATGATGGATATTTACTCCCAATTTTGTTTTTTAAAGAAATGAATCTTTTAATTGTTTTTTTTTTATTTATGACATTTATATGCTGCCCTTCTCACCCCGAAGGGGACTCATAGTGGCTTACAAATATATATACATACAATATATTATATTATTAGCATAATACAATATCAGCATTAAACATTGCTATATTGCACCATAACACTATATCGTAATATTATTAGTAATATTACATGTAATAAAAATATATAATTATAATACCATATTATTATCATTAGTATTATATTGGATTACATTATAATATTATAAATATATTATAAGAAATGAATCTTAACTAATGCTCAGTCTAGTCAGGGAAAGTAATTGAACTTGTTTGGTCTGCCTTTCACCTTTATGCCACTAACTGGAACTGCTTTTACACTTTTTGAAGAGTTAGGTTAGCTAGAAATCTAGACATTGTTACCATTTTTATCTTAAGAGAAATTCATTTTACTGGTAATCATAATTTAGAAACAAGCGGCAGAGCAGGAGATGTCACCTGTCACTGTTCTGAAGGCAAATTGTTCCTCTGTGCCTTTTCAAATTAAATATTTCCTGGCAGGATGTGTGATGTACGTAAACTTCATAACACTATTCTTTGCAATGACAAAGTGAATCAAGTCACTGCATAAACTGACAAGAAAATTGTTCATGTGACTCCCTATTTTTTTAAAATATTTCAAATCTGTCTAGTTAACAATGTTTCTGTCATCATTTTGAAATAAAAACAGAACTTATCAATGAGCTTTAACAACGTTGGGATATTAATAGAGATACTTCTATTGCTTCTCCCTCACCTTTATTCACAAGTCCAATATCACCAACTATCTGCTTCTCCACACTCACACAAGATTTTTTTAAAAAAGTAAGATTGCCTCTTACAACAAAAGTATACAAATACTTTCGGTGTGGTCATTCCGATCAGAATCAATGCTGAGATGATATTAAAGTAGAATTGTTATGTACTTTGTGAGTTTTTCTTTAGCATTTAAGAAGCCTGTAGAAATCCCATAGACATGACAATTAATGTCATTTCCTGAAAATTAATATCATGACAATACACTTCTATACGTTTTAAAATTATTTGTATTAGAAATATTTTCTCAATAACATAAAAAATAAAGGAAATTGGAGAGTTGGCAAAGTGCGGGGAGGGTTATAAGGGGATTTGGAGTTGAGACATCGAGAGTTGTGGGGTTAGGGAAGTAAAAAAGGAATATGGGGTGGGGTGGAGGATTAATTTGGTTGGCTTCCAGTCTGTCGCACACCAGGGCTGAAAGGGCACCTTTGAACCAGTTTCACCACTCCAGAACTCATTTTGTAAGCAAAGCAGTTTATTGAAGGATAAATGTAAAGCTTCAACAAAAAATGATAAGAGATCTGAGTCAATATAAAGTATAGTCCCTTAAAAACAGAGCAATTGAAGAAGCTTGAAATCAATAATCCATAAGACCATCATACATGCAAAATCTTAAAGCTGGAGTCTTTATCAAAACAAAGCAACCCGGGAGATCAAAAGAACTCAGCAACTAAAACATAATTCCAAAAATACAAGAGACCAGGAAGCTGTCTTGATACTTGACACTTGAGTCCATGAATATAAAACACATAGAAAAACTTGAGACAATGAATGCCAAACACATGAGCAAACTTGAGAGAGAAAACTTGAAGCATGAAACATGAAATCCAGACGTTGACTCCTTTGAGATACTGCAAATACATTGGTGACCTATAATTCCAAGAATCCCCAGCCACATCAGGTACAAAACCAGGCTCCTGTGAGACCTCAGGTGCTGACATAATCACAGGTCGAAACACAACACAATTCTCTTGATCGTGCTACTTGATTTGTAGTTCTGTGTTTTTTTCTTGCTTCTGTTCTCCTCACCCTTTACACTTCCCTGAGAGAAGTTTCTTCTGTGTATCGTTCATAATAGTATCCTCATTTTTTGTTTCATATAACTAATAAATAAAGTCCAATCCGAGACCTTTTTGAAATTTCCCTGCAGATGTGCTAGCTGGTAGGTTAATTTGCTTATGCTCATAATTTCCACCATTTTTGTCAGCCATTTCTATAAAGTGGGAATTTCATTTGTTCTCCAGTGTCATGCGTACACTATTCTGGCTGCTGTTGTCAAATAATTAAATAGAATATCTTTATTTTTCTCTAATTTTATGTCTATGATGCCTAATAAAATTATTCTGGTTTAATCTGTAATTTTATTTGTAAAATATTCTGAATTGCGCCATGGATTTCTCTCCAAAAGGACTTTGCTTTTTTACAGCTCCACAACATGTGGAAAAAGGTGCCTCTTTCTGATTCACATTTCCAGCAATTTGTGTTCATATCCTTCTAACATTTTGCTGATTTGTCTGGGGTGATATTTTTAAATGGATACAGTTTAAAATATAGGAAGAAATATGCTAATTTCCAAAAGTGGTCTTTTTAACCTAAGATGTATCTTTTCCTGATGTACAGTATACTTGAAAACAATACAGTGAAATGTATCACTCCATTAACATTTTATGGACTGAACTCACTTATTCTCCTGTAAGTATTAAACGTTAATTTTGAAAACATCACAATTGGGGGGGGGGGGGGGGGGGTTGGGGGTATTTAAAAAAAAACACTTTATATTATTATGATGTGTAATTGTTGTATCACATGCTATGCATAGGCAATTGAGAATTTCTTAACCAGAAACTGAGAATACATGTTGATTCCTATGATTATAAATATGGATATAGTGTGTCTTCAAGCCACCTGTCTACTTATGGCAATCCTGTGAATTTTGTAGGGTTTTCTTAAGCAAGGAATGCTCAGAAGTGGGTTTATCAGGACCTTCCTGTATAGCCCACAGCACCTGAAATTCATTGGTAGTCACCAAACCAAGTCCTAACCAGGACTGATCCTGCTTTGTTTCCAAAATCAAATGGGATCTGGTGCCTTTTGGAAATTCTGTTCCATTATTAGTGTTGCTTTAATTAAAAAGTTGACCTTTCTACCCACTTACATTTTATCTGCTAAAGAAACAAACAGCATATTTAAGTCTCTCTGGCTATTCTTCCAACTTAATGAGATTATAATTAAAGCATATAAAACTAGGGAACAGAATGTGAAGTAACACAATCCAGCTGATTAAGCAATTCAGAGCTTATTCATAATTGCTCATGATAGAAATTGGTTATTGTAGAAAAGAATAGTTCCCTATGGAGTCTTAACATGCGTACAGCAATATGAGCAATTTGTGCTTCATTACTGGGTCCTTGCTACAACAACGTCTTCCTTGTGTTTCTGTTATCTCTATGTTTTCCTGAGCACACACTGATTTTTCTAGTCATATCATTAATTTTGATATGATGGTGTTGCCTATAAAAAGAGGATTCTTTATACAAAATGCTGTAAGATACCCAAAATAATTAGAAATTGTTAGATTTCTAACAATACAAATTTAAAAGTCTACTGATTTATAATGCCACTTCTACTCTATAGATTACCAGATGCATTGATTGGTATCCTTCAAACAATAGGTTTCCACATATCGTCTTATGTATTTGTCTATGACTCAAGATCATACCAATATATTAAGGATTCCAAACTAATTATTTATTCAACACAGCTTCCAAGGGACACAAGTGGAAAGGTACTATCACACACATCCTGCTTGTGGATTCTCATAGATATCTAATTGGGCATGCAGGAATATAATGGTGTTCCCATCTTCCAGCAAAACTGCTTGCCCCATCTTTATGCCAGGAGGAAGGCGAGACACAATCCGATCCTCCCTCCGATCTTCCTCCCCCAATCCTCGGGCTGTCCTCTTGGCATTATGCCAGGAGGAGGGCAAGACAGGTGGTAGCTGAGAGTGCTCCAGAGGGCTCTCAGTAACCACACACCTTCCTTGAGCTGTCCTCCCGGCATAAGGATGGGGCCGCTCACACCGTCCTTATGCCGGGAGGAGGATAAGGCATGCAGTGGCTGAGAGCACTCCAGAGGAATCTCTGCTGTTACGTACCTTCCCCCCACCACCACCTTTTTGGCATAAGGATGTGGTGGGCTGCCATGTCCTTATGCCAAAAGGAGATGGAAAATGAGAAGAGCCTGAGGTAAGTCCCAGGGGGCTGCATCCAGCCCCTGGTCTTAGTTTGCCTATGCCTGACTTATGCAGACTACAAATGTGCTACCTATGTATCCATATATATATGCAACTAATGAATTGGCTAAATCTATATCGATCTCAGAAACTTGGATTCCAGAAACCATACTTTCATTGCTATCAGCCTAATCATATTCTTATTCTCTTTTCTCCCAGAGATTTGAGGTACAACACTCTGGCCCAATTGCCTGATAAACATCTTTGCCAATATATGCCAAGACTGAATTGGCTGTAAGTCCCTCCTCCTCCTCCTCCTCCTCTTCCTCCTTTTTCCTCCTCTTCTTGAAAATATACGTTTTTTTCTGGATTATGAACATCTCATTTTTATTCACAAAGGTCTTTCTACAAAGCCCAAAATGAAATGTAGCAACTTTTTTTCCATGGTAGTTGCTTTCTTTCTTTCTTTCTTTTTGGTTTAAATTCAGATGTCTGTAATGAAGTTCAGTTTCTATTACTGAAAGTAAGAATGATGATATCAACAAGACTATCAGGATATTCTGCTATAGGATTTGCTCTTAGGAACTGACATATAGTATGTTTGCTTGTTTTCCAGAGACCTTGAGGGCAATGCTATCCATAATTTAAGAAATGCCACTTTCATATCCTGCAGGAGTTTAACAGTGCTGTAAGTAAGAAGCATTTATTATTGAACAAGAAAGAAATATCCTTAAATATTTATCTGTGTTTGCCTACATGGGGAAAAATAAATGGGAATATCTTGGAAAGGAGTCCATATAAACATTAACCCAACTTCTTACACTGGAGGCACACAGACAAGGGCTTGGATTCTTTTAACAGTCTTGAGAATACAATTGTTGAAAACTGTTTTGTAAATTCCCTAAATACATTGAATATATATTTGTATTATTTCAGAATCTTAAGAAGAAACAGAATCAGTTCTTTAAATGAACATAGCTTTGCTGCTCTACAGGGATTAGTAGAACTGTAAGTAGGCTAGTTTTATCTCTCTTAGCAATATTTTATTCACTGCATTTAGTTATATAGTATATTATCTACCTGCCAGAAAGCGTTTAGTACTACAGACTTTACTACAGAAGGGATGAGGCAATGAATGATGTCTGCTTAATAATTCATGGGAGCCCCCGGTGGCACAATGGGTTAAACCCTTGAGCCACCAGGTCTGATGACTGACAGGTCGGAGGTTCGAATCCAGGGAGAGCGTGGATGAGTTCCCTCTGTTAGGTCCAGCTCCCCATATGGGGACATGATAGAAGCCTCCCACAAGGATGGTAAAACATCAAAAAAATCTGGGCATCCCCTGGGCAACATCCTTTCAGATAGCCAATTCTCTCACACCAGAAGTGACTTGCAGTTTCCCAAGTTGCTCCTGACACACACACACAAACTAATTCATATAGCTGTGTCTTGTTTGAAAAGAAAAAAATGGAGTGATTTCAGACTGGGGCATCCAAAAATAATTGCAACCCATTCTCTTTGGTGCCCCAGTCCCAAATCAGCTAGGAGCAAGTCATCCCTGGCACAAATGAGAGCTTTTGTGACCAGGCTATGAGGGCAGCAGGAAAAATACTGCTTCTGTATTACTGCCCAAATGGGCTTCTCCAGAGCTCCTGGCAAACACTATCATTTATTTAATGACTTGCCTAATTTGGCTCCTTTTACATTTCACTTACCAAGTTCTCTGAATGTCTACCAATTCATTATATTTGGAAGGATATAGAATTTGGTTGATCCTTAAATTATACACTTTGCTGTTAACCAATCTATAGAGTACAATGTCCAGCTTTTAACTTTGTTTGTGGTTATTTTTAATGCATTCTAACTGTATTCTCAATTTACTTCTGACACGATAAATAAATGTAGTATGTAGGAGGTAAAGTAAAAAACCAATCTATACTGTTGTTCTGTTGTTTTTCCCTCTATAGAGATTTGGCTAACAACAAAAATGAACGACTTCCTCCAAAACTATTTAAAGATCTGAAAGAACTCTCAAAACTGTAAGAATGTTTTTGTGATTTGAAAGCAATATTTTGATCATTAAATGTTTCATACTTCTCTCTCTTGAAAATGGTGAACTCATATAAATTCCATATCTATATAAATAAAAATGTAATGTTTGTTTATGGGATTAACATAATTTAAAAACCACAAATTGACACCAAATTTGGACACAATACACCTATCAGGCCAACAAGTGACCATCACTCATAAAAACACAGAAAAACACAGCAGAAGAGACTTTAAAAGCCAAAAATACATTACAACGCATGCGCAAGGAGAACTGTCATTTATACTTCTCAGGAAAATCCACATCTGGCAGCCTCAGAATTATTAAGCCTCAAAATTATTAATTATTATTAAGCCATCTTTCAAGTTTTAAATATTAACTTTGTTGTGGGAAAATAAAGCTAGTGCCTGGGTGGAGTTAAGCCCAAGTTCTGTTAATAAATCGTTACCTTTTCCTCAAAGCAACAGCGTGGACATTAATTATGTGGGGCTCCTTGTTCCAAAAGAAGGCAATCCAGTATCCCCCAAGCTGGCAGAGAACTGAGACATGGCACTGCCAAAGAAACAGCTTGGGGCGACAGCACAGTACCTGTTCCGACTTACATACAAATTCAATTTAAGAATAAACCTACAGAATCTGTATCTTGTTCATAATCCAGGGATTATCTGTATAGAATTGTAATTTAAGGACCTCATCACACTAACGCAGGGGTCCTCAAACTAAGGCCCGGGGGCTGGATACGGCCCTTCAAGGTAATTTACCCGGTCCTCACTCAGGGTCAACCTAAGTCTGAAATGACTTGAAAACACACAACAACAATCCTATCTCATCAGCCAAAAGCACGCCCACACTTCCCATTGAAATACTAAGTTTATATTTGTTAAAATTGTTCTTAATTTTAATTATTGTATTGTTTTTAGGTGTGTTTTGCACTACAAATAAGGTATGTAGTGTACATAGGAATTCGTTCATTTTTTTTTTCAAATTATAATCCAGCCCTTCAACAGTTTGAGAGACTGTGACCTGGCCCTCTGTTTAAAAAGTTTGAGGACCCCTGCATTAGATAATGAATCCACTTTAAATCCGGTTGCTGCCTCCTGCAGAATTCTGGGGTTTGTAGTATAGGGAGGAGCCTTTAACAGCCTCACTAAACTGCAAACCCCAGAATTCTGCAGAAGGCAGAAACTGGATTTAACGTGGATTCATTCTCTATAGTGATGAGGCTAATAGTCATGTTTCACCCCATTCTTTTTTGCAGGGATCTTTCATACAATCCAATCCAGAAAATACAAGCAGATCAGTTTGATTATCTTGTAAAACTCAAGTCACTGTAAGTATGTGCTTTTCTTATGGTGTTTTGTTATGTTGATCTTATGCATTGATACTTTTAAGGGAAAATCATACTTTCTGTTTCCCATATAATCAAATATGGGCCCTTCCACACAGCCATATGACCCAGAATATCAAGGCGGAAAATCCCACAATATCTGCTTTGAACTGGGTTATCTGAGTCATATATTCTAGTTCAAAGCAGATAATGTGGGATTTTATTCAGCTGGAAGGGGCCTTTGTTTCATTTCTAAGCAGACACACCTTGAGTCATGTTGGTCAAGGCAGGTGGACATAGCAGTCTCGACTACGAACTGAACTGAAATATTATATACTGCATTGACATCTTTCACCTTTCCTTCTTTATCTTGTTTGCGCAATACCACTTAAATATATGAACTATTCATGTTTTCAGCCATTTCTTTCCCAATTTTTAACCTTATTGATATACCTAAAATTTCTTTCTTCTTTCTATAGAAGTCTGGAAGGTGTTGAAATTCCAAACATCCAAAGAAGAATGTTTGAACAACTTAGACAGCTTTCTCATATGTAAGTATCCTATATACATGTTTTCATTTAATGTTGTGGTCATTTATCAGAATTCTAATCATCTACTATAGCAAGTTATTCTAACAGAGAGAAGTGCCATGTTGCGGATTTTTAAAAAAAGTATACAAGAATTGTATGCACATTCTCCTTTGCAAGGAGGCTTTAACTAAGAAATAAGGCACAACGGGTTAAACCACTGACTGCTGAACTTGCTGACCGGAAAATTGTCAGTTCGAATCTGCAGGATGGGGTGAGCTCCCGTTGTTAGCTCCAGCTTCTACCAACCTAGCAGGTTGAAAACGTGCAAATGTGAGTAGATCAATAGGTATTACCTCGTCAGGAAGGTAAACAGCACTCCATGCAGTCATGCCAGTCACATGACCTTGAAGGTGTTTACGTACAATACAAGTTCTTCGGCTTAGAAATGGAAATCAGCACCACCCCTCAGAGCCGGAAGCCTTTACCTTTATCTGTGTATCATTGTTTCTCGCATTTTCTGCAAAAGGTATAATATTTTGTATAACTGATCCTCATAAACAATATGGTAGATATTGAAAATGTAGGTTGTCTATCAGGTTTGTATTTTTCTGTTACAAATCTATATACATTAACTTGACACTGAAAATCTCACTCTTTTTTGTATTCTCAGCTATTTTAAAAAATTTCAGTATTGTTGCTATGCCCCACACGTGCGCAGTTGCAAACCAAATACTGATGGAATCTCATCCTTTGAAAACCTATTGGCTAGTATTATACAGAGAGTGTTTGTCTGGGTTGTATCTGCTGTTACTTGCTTTGGAAACATCTTTGTGATCTGCATGCGACCCTACATTCGATCGGAAAACAAACTCCATGCTCTGTCAATAATGTCTCTCTGCTGTGAGTATTCTCTTGCATTAAAATTATTTTAAAAGATTATAAACTAGGAGTTGCTTTGGAGGACAAAGGTTTTCTGATTTTTATAGTTGGCATGACAATCAGAAGTCAATGTATGATAAAATGGAGAGATGCAATGAAGCTTCATTTTTTTCATTGCAGTTTTGAAACAAACGGATAACAACAATGCTAATTCTGTGTTAATGTAGTTTAGGGACATCATCTGTAAGCTGGTTGGGGAAGCATAAGCTCTTTGGATTCTAAAGATCCAAACATTCCTTACACTCCAGAATCAATTCACTGTTGTCAGTTTACTCATTTTTCCCTGCACTGTCAATAGCAATCATCCACTTTTCCAGAAGTTGTTACAAATCAAATAATTTTCCAAGTTTTGCCCTGAATGCTCCATATCACTCACTGACACCAACATAACTGCTGACAGTAATATATAGTATGGCACCCATTTCCATTGGAAATACCTTCCTGGAATTTCTGTGGATATTTGAAATAGTGGATAGTGGCAAACCTTATTGAAATAAAGGATCTCTAGCAAAATAATTCCATAGAGTATTGTTTCTCAACCTTCTTAATGCCAAAATGCCTTAATACAGTTCCTCATGTCATGGTGACCCCCAACCCTAAAATTATTTTCGTTTCTACTTCATAACTAATTTTGCTACTGTTATGAATCGTAATGTTAATATTTGATTTTGTCATTTGGGAGTTGGCATACAGAACTCCCATGACCAACAGAAAAAACTGGAAGGGTTTGGTGGGCATTGATCTTGAGCTTTGGAGTTGTAGTTCACCTACATCCAGAGAGCACTGTGGACTCAAATAATGATAGATCTGGAACAAACTTGGCATGAATACTCAATATGCTCAAGTGTGAACACTGGTGGAGTTTGGGGAAAATAGACCTTGACATTTGGGAGTTGTAGTTGTTGGGATTTCTATTGTTTGCAAGAAGTATTTTAAAAATTGAGTACAATAGTCACAAATAAGTAATGCAAACACACATTTTCTCCAATAGGTGCTGATTGCCTGATGGGTATATACTTGTTTGTGATTGCTGTTTTTGACTTGAAATATCGTGGAGAATACAATAAGCACGCTCAGTTATGGATGGACAGTATCCATTGTCAGCTGGTGGGATCTTTAGCCATTTTATCCACAGAAGTCTCTGTTTTACTATTAACCTACTTGACTTTGGAAAAATACATCTGCATCGTCTACCCTTTTAGATTTTTGAAGCCAGGAAAATACAGAACCATTTCAGTTTTGGTTCTCATATGGCTTATAGGGTTTGTAGTGGCCTTCGTTCCACTAAGCAATAAGGATTTTTTTCAAAATTACTATGGCACTAATGGGGTCTGCTTCCCTCTTCATTCTGAGAAGTCTGAAAGTGCTGGAGGACGAATTTATTCTGTTATCATTTTTCTAGGTAAGTAAACTCCTGGTTCGTACCAGTTTATAAAAGCACAGTAACTGATGACTTGTACATCAGCATGGGCAGGATGAAAAACAGGATCTACTGCAGGCATGGGCAAACCCAGGCCCAGGGGGCGGATGTGGCCCCTTGCGCTCCTTACTCAGATCCTCCTCTCTCTCCTTCCTTCCTTCCTTCCTTCCTTCCTTCCTTCCTTCCTTCCTTCCTTCCTTCCTTCCTCCTCTCTTTCCTCCCTCCCTTTCCGCCTTTCCCTTCCACTCTTCCTCCCTTCCAGCCTTCCTTCCATCCCTCCCTCCCTCCCTCCCTTTCTTCTCTTTTTCCTTTCTCTTTTCCTCCTGGGTGATATTTAGCTGGGAGAAGAGAAACTAGTGAGGAAATATGAGAACCATGTTTCAAGAATTAAAAGGGTGTCACTTTGAGGAGGAGGAGGAAAACTGATTTTCTGCTGCCCTAGAGACCAGGGCACAAGGGAGCAGTGGTTTCAAATGGTAGGGAAAGAGATTTAAGTGAAAAGATTAGAAAGAACTTCCTGGAGAGTGACATAGGCTGCCTCAGAGCATGGTGTAGTCTCCTTCTCTGGAGGCTTTTACGCACAGGTTGTCTTTTAGGAGTGGTTTGATTGTGCCTTCCTGCATGGTAGGGGGTTGGACTGGATGGCCCTTGGGGTCTCTTCCAGCTCTCAGATTCTAGGATTATATATCAGGAGTAGGCAATACGGGGGCCTAATAGATACACTTTCTCTCCTATTCACTATCTCATCCTGACCAAAGCTAACCCTTTCCAGTCTTTCCTTTGCTTTCTGCCTCCGAAAGAGAAGAGGAAGGGGAGGAAAGGGCAGGGAGGGGACTTGGGGAGAACTTCCTCCCTCCCAGCCTGCCCATCGAACTCCGGACTACCATGCGACCCCAAGTTAGAAAGTTTGCCCATGCATGATCTACTGGCTGAGCTTAAGGATTTCTAGTTCTCTGTGGTTTAGCAACAGTTACAATTATTAGAACCTTAAATCGAGAAATCATGGGGAGAAGCATTACCATAATCTTTGGCTAGGGTCATAATCTCGTGAGTTTTATTGCAATTTGTTATAGCAAGCCAGTAAAAAAAATCATATATCTTTATCTTCCACAACAGGTGTTAACTTGGTAGCATTCATCATTATAGTGTTCTCCTATGGAAGTATGTTTTATAGTATTCATCAGACAGCCATTACTGCCATGGAAATACAGAATCATATGAAGAAAGATATTACACTTGCCAAGCGGTTTTTCTTCATTGTGTTTACAGACGCCCTATGTTGGATACCCATATTTATATTAAAACTGCTTTCTTTGCTTCAAGTGGAAATTCCAGGTATTTTAAATTTAATTAGTTTCATTTTTCACTATGAAAAGGGGGAAACATTAGTGATGCCTTGATCACAGAAAGGGGCAAAAGGGGAAATTCTACATACAGTACAACAAAAGGCTACAAATTTTTCTTCTAATAGAAAATCAGTAAGACTTCAAAACTTGCATAGACTCATAGTAAGGACAATTGATTGAGTAAAGGTAAAAGTAAAGGTTTTCCCTTTACATTAAGCCTAGTTATGTCTGACTCAGGGGGGTTGTTCTCATCTCAATTTCTAAGCCAAAGAACCAGCATTGTCCGTAGACACCTCCAAGGTCATGGGGCAGGCATGACTGCATGGTGCGCTGTTACCTTCCCACTGGAGCAGTACCTATTGATCTGCTCAGATTTGAATGTTTTTGAACTGCTAGGTTGGCAGAAGCTGAGGCTAACAGCGGGAGCTCATCCTGCTCCATGGATTCAAACCGCCAACCTTTCGGTCAGCAAGTTCAGCAGTTCAGTGGTTTAAGAGCCCCTAATTACAACATAAATGCTTCATTAAAATATATAGACACAATTAAGTATTCTTCTTCCCTTTTAGGTTCTATAACTTCCTGGGTTGTGATTTTTATATTGCCAATAAACAGCGCCTTAAATCCTCTTCTGTATACATTGACCACTAGACCTTTCAGAGAAATGGTTGATCAAGTTTGGCACAATTACAAGCAAAGACGATTCTCTGGAAACAAAGACAGTCAACAAATCTATGGACCATCGCTTTTGTGTGTTGAGATGTGGCCTACTGAAAAGGACTCACCCAAAATGATCAGACGTGGTCATGATACAGATTGCTCTGAAGAATCAATGCCAACACACTCAGAAAGCCAGCGATTATATACGTGAAGCTGATTCCAAGCAAGACACAAGTATGAACATTTGCACATTCAGCTTTCCAATTGTTGAAACTTTACCACCTAAAAACAGACTACCTGTTCCAGATTTAATATTGCAGAAGATTCAGCTATAGACATCTCTTAACAGCCTCTCTGGGAAAACTATCACTAGGAACTGGAGGGCAAGAAGAAGGAAAGACATTATTGTGACAATATGTCACAATCTGAACACTAAAACAATGAGCTACATACATCGTATTAATCTTTAAAGTGACATAATGCTCTTTTCTTGGCTGCCTGTGTGCTGGTAGGTGGAATGTACTTACAAGTGGATTATTTAGGGACATAAAATTGTCAATTGCTTTTGTAGCTTGACAATTCAATTATCATATTTAAATTGCAAAGTTTATGGACATAGAAAAAAGAGAAGGTATCAATGAGCAAGGAAGTGCTTTTTTGAGGATACAAATCTATCTTTATTTCTCTGAAAGCAAGACAAGCATCAAATTGCACTGTAAAATACAGAAGCTAAAATATTTGGAGAAGGAATTAAGTTATTCAGTTTTAGAGCTGGCAAAGTCCGTTCTTACAAAATGAAGCACCAAAAAGATGGGGATAGTCTTTTTGATTAAAAATTATTTATTTATGTTTGCACTGGATGGCCTAATATTTATGTATGTATATAAAGTTGCATACTTGCACTTGAATGTTTACAGTTTTTTGCAGTATCTTGAACTTGGCTACAAACCAGTGTTATTTTATATCCAGTTTCTATTAATATGTATAAATATTGTGGTGTTTGTAAATAAACTACATCTTGGAAATGAGGTAACGTTGTTGTTGTTTTACAAAAAGCATGAAAGGCAACAGTATACTTTAAAAACTACTTTTGTAAACACTGATTTATGCATGATTTCTTAAAACCAACACAGAAATAGCTATTTGGAGTGCCTTTGTGTTAAACAATACCAGGGATTTACAAAGTGGGATTATTTTTTAACACAAAAGTGGATTAGTTGTTACTTAAACTTTTCTTCTACTTAGGAAGACAATGATAAATTGTGCTTTATTTTATTTCCAGTTTTTTTATTTTTCACACAGCTGTATAAAATCCCACATTATCTGCTTTGAACTGGGGTATATGACAGTGTGGAGGCAGTGCAAAAATGAGGACAACCATTTTGGGGGAGTGACAGAGGGAGATGTAAGATCACTCTCCAAACGCGCAACGGAAAAGCCAAACTTTGAGGTTCTTCTTGAAAATTTCTAGGATGGGGGCTTGCCTAATCTCTCTCCCTTGTGCCTGTCAGTCAGGTCTGTGATAAAGGGAGGGGCGAAAGGAGAGCATCTCCCAAAGAACGAAGAGGTCGGGCAGGTTTGTGGAAGGAGATGCGGTCCCAAACCATTTAGGGCTTTGTAGGTGATGACCTGCACCTTGAATTGGGACCAGAAAATAAACAGCAGCCAGTGGAGCTCCTTAAACAGGGGGGTTGACCGCTCCCTGTAATTTGCCCCCGTTATTAATCTGGCTGCCGAGCGTTGGACCAATTGAAGTTTCAAGGCCATCTTCAAGGGAAGCCCTATGTAGAGTGCATCACAGTAGTCCAATCTAGAGGTAACTAAAGTGTGGACCACCATGGTCAAGTCAGACTTCGTGAGGTATGGTCGCAACTGGTGTACTACTGACCTGGAGAACCTCTGTCTTGTCGGGATTAATCTTCAGCTTGTTCGTCCTCTTCCAGGTCGACACAGCAGCCAGACACTGGTCCAGTACCCAAGGGACTTCCTTAGAATCTGGTGGAAAAGAGTAGTGGAGTTGGGAGTCATCTGCGTAGAGATGGCGCCGTACTCCAAAACTCCGGGTGACCTCTCCCAGTGGTTTTATGTCGATGTTGAATAGCATGGGAGACAGAACAGAACTTTGTGGGATCCCACAGGTCAAAGGCCAGGGGTTCGAGCAGGTGTCCCCCAGCTTCACTAACTGGGAACGACCCTCCAGGAAGGACCAGAGCCACAGCAAAACCGTGCCCCCGAGTCCCATCCCAACAAGTCTCCCAGAAGGATACCATGGTATCGAAAGCCGCTGAGATATCCAAGAGAACCAGCAAAAGATACAGATCAACACGCCTGGGTCCATCCACACTGTAGAATTAATGCGGTTTGATACCACTTTAACTGCCAAGGCTCAATGTTATGGAATTGTAGTTTTGCACAGTTTATCCTTCTCTGCCAAAGTTCCGGTGCTACCCCAAACTACAAGTCCCAGGATAACCATAGCATTGAGCCATGGCAGCTAAAGTGGTATCAAACTGCATTAATTTTACTGTGTGGTTTGGCGCCCTCCTGAGTCCTAAATTCATCCTTCTTGACTTAGGCCACACAGCTGAATAAAATCCCACACTATATGCTTTGGACTGGGATATATGGCAGTGTGGATTCAGATATTCCAGTTCCAAGCAGATATAGTGGGTTATTCTGCCTTGATATTCTGGGTTATATGGCTGTGTGGAAGGGACCTCAATCATCCCATCTGATTCAAAAATAAGCGCCGCCCTCTTTTCTGAACAGCTGCTTCCTTTTTATTGGTCAGCTGACAGAGGCGCGTGGGAAAGGAGTTGACAGTCATCTGTTTTTACCAATGGAAACGTGACTGATGATGCACCAATCACAACGCGAGGAGGGCGGGGTTTAGTTCCAAACCATGACGAAGAAAAGCTAAGCCCCGCCTTCACCAGTCACCAATCCTATATTGAAGTTGTTTCAAGTTGAGTCATAGAGATAGTAAATAATAGACTGCCACAAGATCCAACTCTTTAGAAGCTCTCTTCCTTTTAGGTTTAGAAGCGCCCTTTCTTTCGGTAAAGGTAAACTTGTAGGAAGGTAAATGTGAAGGAAGATGGTTCCAAGGCTGGCTATCCCTATTTGGTGTTGTCACGGTCAGGAAACTACGCTTCCCAGCATGCACCTCGGCACCTCCGCGGAGAGTGGACTGTAGGGCGTGATGACCCCTTTACCGGAGGGCATTCTGGGAGTTAGAGTCCCACGCCCATTTCCCCGTCACGTGGCTGCAGGCGTCGTGGGCGGGGCTGAAGTCCAATTCCTGACAGGGAAGCCTGAGTTGGGAGTCCTTCTCGTGAAGGAAAAGAAGGAAGGAAGGTCTCCTCAAAGGAAACCCTCTCAGCTCTCGGGGGTTCCTTGGGCTGCTTTGGGCGAAGCGCCATGCTCTTGCCTGCCTGCAGGGTTTCCCGTCCAGGTAAGGTCAATTGGGGTGCGCCTACACTGGAGGGTTAACGCAGTTCGACACCGCTTTAACCGCCATGGTTCCAAAGCTATGGAAACCTGAGATCTTTGGTGAGGCAACAGCACTCTGGCAGAGAAGGCCAAAGACTTGAAACTACAAATCCCATCACGCCATAGCACTTAAAGTGGTCTCAAACTGCATTAACTCTACAGCGTAAAGGTAAAGTTTTCCCTTGACATTATGTCTAGTCGTGTCCGACTCTGGGGGGTGGTGCTCATTTCCTTTTTTAAGCCGAAGAACTGGCATTGCCAGTAGACACCTCCAAGGTCATGTGGACTGCATGGAGCACTGTTACCTTCCCGCAGAAGTGGCACCTATTGATCTTCTCACATTTGCATATTTTCGAACTGCAAGGTTGGCAGAAGCTGGGACTAACAGCGAGAGCTCACCCTGCTCCCCAGATTCGAACCGCTAACCTTTTGGTCAGAAGCTCAGTGGTTTAACCTGCTGCACCACCAGAGGGTACTGTGTAGATGCAGCTTATTTCTTTATTTATTTCAAGCACCATACGATACTGTCAACAAGTAAACAATTCGAAGTACAATTAAAGCACTAAAAACCATTAAACATTAAAAATCATTAAAACACATTATATAATTCATTAGACAGTAGATTATACATGCTGGTAAAACCAAATCCAAGTCTAGGCAGATTCATTGTCGTAAATATCCTATGTCTTTTTTCCAATTGCCGCTATCCGATTAATTAATCAAATTAATCCAAAAGCTTAAGATCTCCCTTTATTTTGTTGTCTACTCAGAATAAATAATATCCCTTACCCAGAATGCTTGGGAACAGAAAACAGAAATCTTGGGATTTTGGATCCTCCCCCCCCCCCCCCCCCCCCCCCCCCCGCGGATATTGGAATACCAATATTTTGACATCTGTGAGCTTATTTTGAAAGTGGGAGCAAATCTAACCACTAAATTTATTTACGTTTCATGGAGACCTGATACGCATGAACCGAAGATCATTTTTTACTCAATATTTTAAAATAATGTTGTGGATGGAAAAAATTGCCTCACCAAATTACAAATCCCATAATTTCATAGCACTGAGCTAGGGCAGTTCAAGGGGTGTCCAACTGCATTGATTGTACTGTATAGAACAGTGGTTCCCAACCTTTTTTTGACCAGGGACCACTCTCCAACATTAGTATTTGGGGTGCTGATTCAGAAAATTGCATTGGATACTATAGTTTCCTACTTTCCTATACCAACTATATGTTCCCCCACTTTCATTGTTATTCAGAAACTCAATAAAAACTTACTTATATATAAAAAAGAAGGGAACAAAGAAAGAGATAGAGATGAGGCACAAATTAGAGAAAGTAATCTAGAAGACTTTAAAACTGAGCTGCGGCTTAGTATTGTGTGGCAGTTTTCTCGTTCACCCGGCAGGGTGATGTGATCAGATAAACCTGTTGAACAATCAAAGAAAAAAGGAAAAAAGAATATTGCATTGGATAGACCACATCAGCTCTCGTTTCTGATACAGAACATATGCCATCCAGGAGTCGCCATCTGCTCACCCACAGAAAACCATATTTAATAATCTGGAGCTGATGTGGTAGTTGTAGTCTTTTGTGGGTAGTCAACCTCTCCCCAACCGACATCCCCGTTGCCTCGGCGCTATAGGAGGGTTTCGCCAGACCAGTCGCTCTCAAGGCAATGGTGTAGTAATGGTGAGGCCACGAACCATATTTTCCTTCTTGCAGACCACAGGTTGGGAACCGCTGGTGTAGATGCACCCAGGAAGTAGATGGGGAGATGGGGATTTGGCACTCCAAATAACAAGGCCATTTCAGTGAGCATCTCACAAATCTCATTCCAGCACTCTTACTACTTGATCAATGTAAGTCTTTTAATATGAAGACCATGTGCATATTAAGAATAATGTGCATTAAAAGAGAGACGGGAAAAATTAAGTTCTTCTATTCCTTTTTGGTTTTCTTCAGCCAACATTCTAACTATCTGATAAATCTGTTACCGGGAAGAATTCAAAGTGCTGGCTTTAGCCTACAAAGCCCTAAACGGTTCTGGCCCAATCTACTTGTCTGAACGTATCTCCCCTTATGAACCATCTAGGGCCTTAAGGTCATCTGGGGAGGCCCTGCTCTTGATCCCGCCTTCATCACAAGTACGGTTGGTGGGAATGAGAGACAGGGCCTTCTAAGTGGTGGCCTCTCTGCTATGGAACACCCTCCCTAGGGAGATCAGATAGGTTCCCTCCCTCTTAACATTTCAGAGACAAGTTAAAACATGGTTGTTTGAGCAAGTGTTTACAAATGCAGAGTAACTGATATCAGAAATCGAATGACTCGACAATGGAATTGGACAATGTTTTATAATAATAAGGAGACGCTAATGATGTTTTTTATTGCTTCTGTTGTGTTTTATATTGTTTTAATGTTTTAACCTGTATTATGATATTATGAGTACTGATTTATTGTAAACCGCCTTGAGTCACCAACTGGCTGAGAAAGGTGGTATACAAATACAGTAAATAAATAAATAAATATAATTA